TTCATTCATCCATCCATTCATTCATCCATCCATTCATCCATTCATTCATTCATTCATCCATGGATTCATCCATCCATTCATTCATTTAATCATTCATTCATTCATCCATCCATTCATTCATCCATCCATTCATTCATCCATCCATTCATCCATTCATTCATTCATTCATCCATTCATCCATTCATTCATTCATTCATTCATTCATTCATTCATCCATCCATTCATTCATTCATCCATCCATCCATCCATCCATTCATCCATTCATTCATTCATTCATTCATTCATTCATTCATTCATTCATTCATTCATCCATTCATTCATCCATCCATTCATTCATTTAATCATCCATTCATTCATTCATTCATCCATTCATTCATTCATTCATTCATCCATCCATTCATCCATTCATTCATTCATCCATCCATTCATCCATCCATTCATTCATCCATCCATTCATTCATTTAATCATTCATTCATTCATCCATCCATTCATTCATCCATCCATTCATCCATTCATTCATTCATTCATCCATTCATTCATCCATCCATTCATTCATTTAATCATTCATTCATTCATCCATCCATTCATTCATCCATCCATTCATTCATCCATTCATTCATTCATTCATTCATTCACTTATAATTCTTTACTTTTCATATTCCTCATCCTTTAAAATAGTGAATGTTCGCCTGCATATACTTACGATATCAATACTTTAAAACGGAGAAACATAACCCAACCAACATGCAACACGGTTAGACGTAGTTTTAGCTGTCTGTCTGTAGGTCTGTCTGTCTGTCTGTCTGTTCGTGTGTGTGTCTGACAGGCTGTCTGTCTGTTTAACTTTACGTAATTTGGTGTAGCTTTCGAACAAAGGAAATACTTTTTTTCGATGCACCTGTTTGCGTGTGTTTGTATGATCTGCAGTTTGTATGAATGAACAACATGTTTGTGATTGGTGTTCGTACGCGTTGTCGGCTGCTGGTTTGCGTGTGTTTGTGTGTGTGTGTGCGTGTGTGTGTGTGGTGTCTGTTGATGAGTGTACATTATTTTGTTTCGATTTTTATTTAAAAGTTTTTTGTTTTCTTCTACAAAGTAAATTTATCACGTTTATCTGGTTGGCTGTGCTGTTTGTTTTTATTTCTAAATTTGTATTGTTGCGAATATGGCTATTAATTGTATGGACTCAAAGACACACAACACACACACATACACACACATACACACACACACGCAAGATGTTTATAATAAGTTTACGTAAGATATACAAATATATGAACGACGTCTTTGCATGTTTTCATGATAAACTGATTAAATTCATTTTATATCTTATCGGATAATTTTCTGTGTTGCTTTTTTTTAAACATTTTATCTTACGAAAATTATGGAATAAAATGGAAACAAAGAAGAGCACATTAAAAATAATCAAGCATCCAATCAACTAATTAACCAACCTACAAATCAACCATTACACCTTGACTAGCCATCCAACCATCCAGCCAACCAACCAATCAGCCAACCAATCAGTCAACCGGCCAGCCAACCAACCAATAAACCAGCCAACCAACCAGCCATCGAACCAATCAGTCATCAAACCAACCATCCATCCAACCAACCAACTCATGATAAATCACATTCACATCATGCCATCGATTTGCGCCTGCTCCATAAGGTTAATATGCCGAGTTTGATTGCGAAATGTTTTAGCAATAATTGTAATAAAAATAATAATAATAAATAAAATAATAATAACAATAAGAAGAAGAAGAAAGAAGAAGAAGAAGAAGAAGACGAAGAAGTAGGAAGAAGAGAGAAAACCCAATAATAGATAACAAAAATATTAAGGAATATTATAAAATAACAATATTCAAAATAAAATTAGAAAAGTTCCATAAGCAAAAATAGCGAGGATAATTGCAAGTAGGTCCAGTGATAATAGTGTTATATTGATTAGTAATATTTTAATATGCGATGTCATTTGGGATCATCATCATCGTCGTCGTCATCATCATCCCCACGTTATTTTAAAGATTCTAATTTTTTCAAAGTACACCAAAGCGATTACTTGATCAATTTTTTATTACGTCCTCATGACGTCATCATGTTTCAACCAACATCATCATCATCATCATCATCGTAATCATCATCATCATCATCGTAATACAATCATCATCATCATCATCATCATCATCGTAATACAATCATCATCATCATCGTAATACAATCATCATCATCATCATCTTAACACAATCATCATCATCATCACCTGGGGACAATCTTTGATAAAGTGACCTTTCTGAAAACACAGATGACATAAATAGGTACTTGGAAGCTTTTTGTTGTTGTTGTTGTTGTTGTTATTACTGTCATTGTTGTTGTTGTTGTTGTTGTTGTTGTTATTGTTGTTTTGGTAATCTGTGGTGTTGTATGCATTCAATAGATTTCTTATGCTGTCTTTACTGAAGATTCCACTGTTGATGTTGTTGACGTTGTTGTTGTTGATGTCAGAAACATTTTTCATTAAAGATTTTTCTGCCAGCAAGTAGCGGCAGAAAGAAGATGGCGATGAGGGTGGTGATGAAGATGATGATGGTTCTTGGTTCGATGATGACGACGATGATGTTGTTGTTGTTGTTGCTGCTGCTGAGATGAGCTGCGAGAAATGTTTGTTAAATAAAATTACATCGCACATAACCGCAACAACAACAACAACAATAACAATACAACAACAAATACGTCACTATCAACGACATCATCATCATCAACAACAACATCATTGTTATATAAATAAACACCAATGTTATCGTTATTATTATTATTATTATTATTATTATTATAATTATTATTACCATCGTTACCTTAACACTGAAAATTGAAAAGTTGAAGAATATGAATATGCAGAAGGTAAAGTTGATTGGCACCTAATTATAACTAAACAGGGGTTAGTCAGTTGAAGAGTTGAAAGATGGATGGGAGGATGAACGAATATATAGATATACGAATGAAGGAATGAATGAATAAATGAATGGATGGATAAATGAATGAACGAATGAATGAATGAACGAATGAATGAATGAAAGAATCAACAAACAAACGAACAAACAAACGAATAAATGAATTATTAAATGAATATATAAACAGATGGATAGATGAATGATCGATGGATGGATGAAGAGATAGTTGGATGATTGGAGGTTAGACTTATAAATAAAGGAATAAATTAGATCGAACAAATAAAGTGGATTTCCATTTTTATGAACCGACTTAAAAAATCAAAAGTTGAATTTAAATGGATTAAATAGCGAAAAAAATTTGCGTGGAAATGTTTGATCGGCAGATTGAACGAGCATGCAGATGAATATATGAATTATGAATTATATTATTAACATTATGAATGAATGAATGACTGAATGAATGAATGAATAAATGAATGAATGAATGGATGGATGGATGAATGAATGAATGAATGACTGAATGAATGGATGGATGGATGGATGAATGAATGAATGAATGAATGAATGAATGAATGAATGAATGAATGAATAAATGAATGAACGAATGAATGATTGATGGATAAACGAACGTGTAAATGAGTAAAAATTTAAAAAATAATGTCGGTATGTTAATACAAATAAATAAGCAAATGAATGAATGATGATGAAAAAATGTTTCAAATAATTCAAAGTAAATGAATGATTGATTGAATAAACAAATAAGTAAATAAATGAATTATAATGAATGAATTAATGAAAGAATGAACGAGCGATCGAATGAATGAATAAATGAGTGAATGAATGAATGAAAGGGCAGATATAAGATATTGAGAGACAAAACTAAACATGTGCTTCTGATAAAATTTAATTCTTCAGCCATTTATTCCCCAAATTAAATCTCTAAAGTTAATCTGGGCTTGTGTGTTGTGCAGGCAGCTTACTACAGATTAATCATACAACTTATGTTACCACTACTACTACTACTACTACTACTACTGCTACTACTACTACAACTTCAATTACTATTACTACTACTACTACTATTCCTGCTACTAATACTACTACTACTACTACAATTTCAATTACTACTGCTACTACTTCTACAACTACTACAACTTCAATTACTATTACTACTACTACTACTACTACTACTACTACTACTACTACTACTACTACTACTACTACTACTTCCATTTAACTTCAAACGTTTTAAATAAACATACCAATTTAATGTAATGTAAGACTGAAAACTATTCTAATAATATTAAAAAATTATACACTGATATTAAAAATAACAAAAATACCGCCACCTCCCACCACCAATAATAATAATAAAAAGAAGAAGAAGAAAAAGAAGAAGAAGAAGTAGAGGAAGAGGAAAAAAATGCAACAATGAAGTATAAAAAATACAATAAGCCAAAATTTCTTAAAAAATTGAACCCTAAACCACAAAGTTTTGGTAAGCCCTACACTACTGAAAGTCGTAATGGCGATAAACTGCAATAGCAATAACAGCATTAGCAGCTGCAACAACAATAGCAGCAGCAGAAGCAGCCACAGTAGCAGCATTAGTAATATAAGTAATACTAAATACCAACGTTTTTAATGTATCAATATTTCATTGGTACTGTTGTGTAAATTGTTTTACAAACATATTATAGATGGTATCAATATCTTTGATTGTGACAATGTGGCTGATGATTGATGTGACTTACATTAAGTTGTCTGAGCAAATTCTGAATGGCAAACAGATCATAATTTTTATTATTGTTGTTGTCAAAGTTGGCGTTTATGTTGCTGGTGTTGTTGTTGTTGTGGTTGTACAAGTCATTTTTGCCATTAACGTGGTTGTAGATTTTATAGAATCTGTCATTGATGTTGCATTTGATGTCACTGCCATTCAATCCCGTTTTATAAACGTTCTCTATAATGTTAGGAAAATTATTGTTGATGTTGTTGTTGATGTTGTTATTGATGTTGATGTTGTTGTTGTTGTTGTTGATGTTAAGGCAAGTTTCAGGCGAATCAATAGAAGATAGAGGTGACGATTCATTAGAATTCAAATGTCTCAATGATCTGACGTTGCTGATGTTGCTGTTGATGTCACCAAAATTATTGATGTTATTGCTGAAGATGATGTTATTGTTGATGTCGTTGATGCTGCTGTTGTTGTTGTTGATGATGTGATTTTGCTGCTGGTACAACAAAGTTTCTAGAATCTGTGTGGCGATTAATGATGGTAGATAGTGCCACTCTGAAGTGCCATGCAATAATTGGAGGATGTTTGTGATGAAAAGATGATGACGAATGATGATGTTGATTATCACAACAACGATGATGATGATGATGATGACGATGACGGTTGTGATTGCGTGTTGACACAAAACAAATCAACTAATTTTTTATTCCATCATTATGATATAAAACACATCGTCATACTCTTCTTCGAAAAAGAAACACACACACACACACACACAAGTACGTACATACACACATATACATATATACATGCATGCATGCATGCATAAGTACATACATACATACAAACAAACATACATATACATACATATGCATGTATGAACGTACATACATACACACACATATACGTACATACATGCATACATACATACATACACATACACATACACTCATACACACACAAACGCACAAACACACACACATACCTACATACATACATTCTACTAGATAGATTATATCTTAGTTTTGGTATTGGTGGTTTGGTCCTGGAATGGTTTAAATTTTATTTGAATGGTGGAACTCAACAGGTACTGATTGGAGGTATGAAGTCTGATGTCAATCAGGGTTATCTTCGGGATGCCTCATGGATCTGTTCTTGACCTACTACTGTTTTTGTTTTGCACGTCCGTCAGAGATGTTTAATGTTATCGAATCATTAAGGTTCTCATGTACCGACAATGCCGATGTTATTCATATAATAGTTAAAACTACAACTGATTCGTTTCAAATGGATATGGATAAATTTGTAGAATGTTTGACGGCCGTTGATTTAGGGATGTCGCAGAATGGTTTAAAACTGAATCAAAATACAACAAAGCATGGCAGCAATTGGCAGGATTGGAGATAAACTCAATTGCAGTGAACAGTGGAGGAATTTTGTTTTGTAACAATGCAACTAACTTGGGTGTTGTGTTTCATTCAAACCTAACATTTAACTTACGTTTTAGCTCATTCTTTATTTATATTTATTTATTTAAGTACCATATCAGGATGTTGTCAAGAGATTGCATGCATCAGATCAGAAGAATTAATCAAATTCGTGGATCCTTTAACGTTTCAATACTTCAGACTTTGGTTCAATTCTTTGTCCACTCGAGAATTGGCTACTGCAGTAGTTTACGTTGTGGTTTGCCTGACAAATCCATCAGTATCTTCCAGTCAATACAAAAATCGTGCGGCAAAGGTTGTGGTTTGTGGTCTGTGGAATGATCATGTGACGCCTATACTACAGTCGATAAAAGGATAATGTACAAAATTGCATTTTTGATGTATAAAACGCTTAATGGTAGTGCTCCAGTGTATCTGGAGCACTAACCATTGGACAAGTAATTATCGACCAATATATCTACTTTCTCCACTTTCCAAAGTACTAGAAAAAATAATTTTTGTCAGAGTCACCTCATTTCTGTCCATAAATAAATTATTAAATGATAATCAATATGGCTACAGAGCACAGCATTCAACTGAGCAAGCTGTGCTGCAATTAGCACAAAATGTTATGAATAATCTTAACGAAAAGATACTAACTGTAGGTGTATTCATAGACCTCTCAAAGGCCTTTGACGTCATCAACCACGATATACTGATTAAAAAATTAAATTCACATGGAATAAAAGGAAAAGTAAGTGCATGGTTCAAAAGTTATTTAGAGAACAGAGACCAGTATGTGGCAATAAAAAGTCACTCCTCAACAAAACTTAACGTAAGATCAGGCGTGCCACAAGGATCAATTTTAGGTCCTCTTCTATTCATAATCTTCATGAACGATTTTCAACATGCAACTGATGCAAATCACCTTCTATATGCAGATGACACTAACATCTTCTTCCCAACTAAAGACCCATTGAAAGAAGTAGAATACATCAATAACAGTCTTCAAAATATATCAACCTGGTTTATCAAAAATAAATTAATAGTAAATTATTCTAAATGTAATTACATTATTTTTGGTCCGAAAATTTTAACAAATATTATACCTAACCTAGACATAAAAATGAACAATATTTCTATTCCTCGCTCAACCAGCACAAAATTCCTTGGAGTAACAATCAAGGACAATCTTTCTTGGGATATTCACATAGATACTATGTCTAAAAGAATATGCAAAACCCTAGGAGTTATAAGCAAAATTAAAAATAAATTAAATAAACCTACTCTAATTGACCTGTATTATTCGTTAATCTTTCCTCACCTCATGTACTGCAACGTAATTTGGGGAAACATTCCTGACATTCATCTAAAACAGTTAACAAAATGCCAAAACCGATTCATCAGAATATTTAAAAATCTTCATCCTCATTGTCACACAAGTGAATATTATCTCGAGATGAAAATACTCAACATCAAAAACTTGTTCATCTACCACGTTGCAACATTCATTTTTAGATTTCTACGTCAGCAATTGCCGGCATTTTTTAGAAACTTTTTCACTTTTGGAACTTCCATTCAAGCAAGAACTACACGCCACACGCCACTTTTCTATGCTCCACCAGCCAGAATTAAAGTACTCTGCATGAGTTTGAAACACACCGGCCCAGGAATATGGGAGACGATTCCACAAGAAATTAAAGATTGTAACACTTTGCATCTTTTTAAAAATAAACTGAAAAATTTTTTAATTACGAAAAGTTCTGTTTTTCAAGGATAATAATGTATATGTATATATATGTATATAAGTGTGTACATATTTCATTAACATTGATACATTTTCTCCTATTGACAATTTTATTTTATCATTGAGAAGCTGTTTTGAGCTGCACGGTGGCCGAGCCCACAAGAATTAATTTTCTTTTTTTGGTCTCCGAATCATTCATGCTTTTGTTTTGTTTGATTGAATAAAAGTGATTTGATTTTGATTTTTGATTTTGATACATACATACATACATACATACATACATACATACATACATACATACATACATACATACACACACACACACACACATACATACATACATATGAAGACGCTTACATACAAGTCTGCGAGTAAAAACAGTAGCAGACATGCATGGAAACATGCATTCAAGCATCAAACTTGCACTGCAAACACGAACGGAGTCAGAGAGGTAGGCACCTACCTTCTCATCATCATCTTTTCAGTTATGTTATTATCTTAGAAGTCTTTGATGGAACGTTCAACTTCGAACACTCGTCAACAAAAACTATCCGTCTCAATGTTGACAGCAGATTGACTGGTGACAATTTTTTAATTACCATAATTATAACAATGATGACGCTAATTATTTATAATTATTACGATGATTATAATGACGTTGGTGAGTGTGATGATGATGAAGATGAGGATGATGATCGTGAATATCACTATACCATATATATCATCACGTGAATTGTGTTTAATTTGTAATATTGATCAAACTTCATTCATTAGATCGACAACGATGCGTGAACCTCATAAGAGTAGCAAAAACCAGCCAAACAACTAACCAGCCAACCAACTAACTACACACCCACCCAACCAACCAAACAAACAACTAACTAACAAGCCAACCAACCAACCAATTAGCCAACCATCCAACCAACCAGCCAACCAATTAGCCAACCATCCAACGAACCGACCAGCCAGCCAATCACCCTCCTTACTTGAGCAATGCTGACGTTCCCAGCCTCAACGATCTGCTGAATTTCGTTGGGCGGCGACGACGACAACGATGATGGCGACCTCGCGTTTGGCGAAAATCTCAAACTCGAGTAGAAGTAATCCGAAATCAAATCACTCTTGCTAATGTTGTTGTTGTTCATGATAGGGGTGTTTTTGACGTTGTTGTTGAGTAACATGTTACCAATGTTGTTGTTGTTGTTATTATTATTATCGTTGTTGTTATTATTATTATCGTTGCTGTTGTTGTTGATGTACGAAAGACCACTGAACAGTCCAGCTGGTCTCATCTCATTCCACATGGTTCTCAAAGGTGCCCTGTCGTGCATTGAACTGTGTGTGGTGTGGTGGTGGTGTGGTGGTGGTGGTGTGGTGGTGGTGTGGTTCACGTGTGTCTGTCCGCTGTGAACGTTCTGTCGGTTGATATCTTAGCGATTTCAGTCAGGTTAGGTTTGGGATGAATGAAGCCGATCTTTATGAGTGCCATAAAAACTCGTCATCATGGTTTGTAATGATGGTTTGTGTTACTAATATTTATTCATTATTCACCAAATTTGTAGCACAAATTGAAAATATTAAATGACTTCATTTAAAAATTTTCATTAGCGAGATAACGAACTAACTAAAAACAGACAACCATCACAACACCCTCGGAGTAGAGAAGTTCTTAAAAAGAATGACAAAATTATCCATCGAAAGCTTTTCCTTTCAGGAAATCCAAAAAACGTCGTTAACAAACAGATCAAAAGTAAAGTAAGCAAATGAGAGTCATTTTGTACTGTGTGTGTGGGAGAAATGTGGGAGAGAAAGAGAGAAAGAGAGAAAGATTTGGAGAGAGAGAGAGAGAGAGAGAAAAAGATGAACTGGTGTAACTTAAAAAAATAAGTAAATGGACAGACTACTGCATGTAAATGTCACTCGACATTTCTATTTTTAATCGTTCCAAATGTTTATTCCATGCATTGAAACAAAAACTCACGCGTATCTTATGAATTATTTTAAAAATATTTCTTGTCAAATAAAACATTAAAACAAATACTTGCAAACAAAAAAAAAAAAATTAACTTACAAATCGCTGCTGAATAAACTCGCATTAGAAGAGGGAACATGTGATGCAGGAGCGAGTGAAGGAAGATGAAAATAACTGAATGACAGCTCGTTCAAACTACTTTCCCATCATTTCATTATAAAGGATTAGTCATATGCATCTCTATGCCTGCCTGTATATACAAACACATATTACATAGAAATTCGTATACTCACACACACACACACACATATATATATATATACATATATATATATATATGTGTGTGTGTGTGTGTTCGTGTGTTTGTGTGTGTATTATATAAATGTAAATATAAATATATTGTATAGATGTGTATATAAATATATACAAACGATTGTATGAACATTTATACAAATGTGTATAAACAAGTATGCGTTTGTATACTTGAATGATTATGGGTGCAATGTGTTACAGCGTATGCGTGTAAGTCTTTACAGAAGTTTTCTTATATGCGCATACATTTTAAGCTGTGTGCATGTGCATATATGTGTTGTGGATGTGAATGGATGACATAATGCATGCGTCTGCTTGCATGTGCTTGTTGTTAAACAAACAAATAAATAAACATATTATATAAATATTTTGCATACATATAATATACATACATGTATATCTTTTGTAAACATTTTGTTGTAAACTTTGACTTTCGTTACTACCGACATCAATGTTATAACTTCATAAGATCTATATATTTCCAACACCAGCTTCCAACGATCGTCAAGATACCGTTATTCCGTAGGTTCAAGACTTCCGATAGATGAAAGAACACAACGGCTTCAAACGTAAACTTTGTTGAACGTTTATTTGAATGCCAACAGCAATAAAAACACTAAACTAACCCAAGTAACTACATAAATCACGACTACAACTTCGCATAAAACCTCGCTAAAACCTCGCTATTCGCAACACCTTATAAAGCGTCGACAGTAGGTTTGTACAATCCTCTGTAAGAAAAGATTCCATAGTTTACAATCGATGACAAATAGCAAAGATAACCGATATAATAATATTTAATTATACAGTGTAATTCTACCATTGCGGTGAATATAACATTACCCCCACCTAGCATAGGCGTAATTTCTTTACTCCGATGAATTTGGGCTAACTTATCCAAATAGAGGACTTTCTTCTCTGCCCGTTGTCTTCAACAATCATACGTCCTGTGTAGATCACGTCATTTATCTTGATAGCGACCTTGTACAGATCTTTCCAATTCCATGGGAGTTTTGCCGGACATTAACTTTATCTGCGCCGTAGGTTGTACATCCAGACCAGGTCATTGCTCTTGATACCTGCGTTATTTCTTTTCGGATCACACGACGTTTCCGTTGTTTCGGTTCCTCTAGCCATAGGCAGACGTCGTGGTCTTTTATTGTTTTTTTGGCACTTGAAACAAGTGCCATCTTTCTATTGAGTTTACAAGATGTAGAATGACCAGACGGATAGTTTTGATGCATACCGTAATATTCGTTGTTTACGATCAGTGATGGAGCGATGAAAAACTCTCACTCATTAGCAATGAAGCCGTCGTTGACCATCACACAGGTAGACAAGGACCAAGCTTTCATTCAAAGTGCGTGCTAGATGGGTTTTCTCAAAACTAGAAGCATCATCTGTCACCAATTCATGTTCTGTAGAAATATTTGCATCAGCATTCGAATCGTCTTCACTGACGTCGTTAATCTTTAGATTAATGCTCTTGCAGATTAACGTCTTATCCAAATTCTCAAAAGTTGACTTGTTGGTAAATACTGCATTAAAATCGTTGTTGCAATTTTTGTTACTGCTGTCGTTGTTATCAACAAAAACAGGCGAGATGCTTGCAATCAATCTATTTATCAATCAATCAATCAATTAGCTTATAAAGCGCTATTTCCGCGATGTTCAACAGCGCTCCTCAATGAATTTTGAAAACCGATGGGCCTTGAGATCCGCTCTGAACTTCGCTAGTGATGGAGAAGTAGTCAGAGAAGTAGGTGGAGAGTTCCAAAGAAAAGGACCAGAAAAAGCAAAAGCAGATTTGGCAAAAGAGTGTTTAACACGAGTTAAGAATATGCGAGAAGAAGAAGACGATCGTAAACCGGGGCGTTTAGGTCTAATTAATATATCTGATAAATGCTTAGGAAATAATTTAGATTGAGACTTATACATGAACGTGCAAATTTTAAAAATTATTCTTTATTTTATAGGTAGCCAGTGCAAGAGAACAAGATATGGAGATATATGAGAAAAGAAAGGGGCACGAGCAACTAGACGAGCAGCAGAGTTAAAAGCTTTACTTAAAGGATAGAGTATAGAGTCAGGAAGACCATAGTAGAGCGAGTTACAATAATCAATCCTAGATAAGACTAACGAAAAAATCTAAATGGTAGTTCCACTGCATGTCAAAAGTTTCAATGTCTTTGTCACTTGCAGCTTTTCGAATATTTCCAAAATATTCATCATCGTCTTTGTTGTCATTTTCTTTGTTTCGTTCAAAATGAAAAACATTAGAAATGAAAACAAACTAGTTGCTGGTAGAAAGATCCAAGTAGTAGTCCCATATCAAAAGTTTCAATGTCTTTGTCACTGCCAACTTTTCCCTAATATTTTCAAAACCTTCATCATCGTCTTCGTCATCATGTTCATCAGTTATAAGTTTTGTATGCAATGTACGCTAATATACAAATAAACAATTGCAAGTTTGTATATTTTGTGCATTCGTGTGTGCCAAGCCAACGACTGCGACGAAAGATGATAGCCATACGTGTTGAAAGGTGTTGTATATATGTTTGTTTGTATGTGTGTTGTATGTTTGTGTTTGTTTGTATATGTGTTTTATGTGTATGTAGGTATTTTGTATTCTCTGAAAGAATATTTTTATATAGTATACAAATACGTAAATAAAAATAATCATATTATTATACGCGCAAAGGTATATTGTGCCTCCTTGTATTTCGTGTTAAATCTGCTATGTATGGACAGATTGGCACACCCACAAGTTCATGAACTGCAAAATTCTGCCTTCCCCGCTAGGTAGCCTTTGTTATTATATTTAATTCCATTTTGTCAGCCTGCAGTTCGTGCATGCACTCATACACACATCTGCAGGCATACACACACAATACATACATACATACAATACGCACACAAACACACAGGCAGGGGCGGGCCTAAGGAGAGACGGAGTGACCACGATCCTCCAGCTGCATAGAAAATGCATCGTTTTATTCAAAAATCGACCGAAAATTTACGTGATAAGAAAAAAAATGAAACACTACCACCAATTTTGGCGCCCCACTGTCAAAATTTAAAAATTAAAACTTTTTCAAATTTCTGTTCTCTTCCTCAACGTGGTCTTAGATCCGCCACTGCACACATAATATTAATATATGCTTGCGAACGTGCGCACATACAATAAGGTCTGCACCTACCCGCCTAATTTTATGCGGTTTTTTGAACGAAACACAACACAGACGAAGAAGGAAATATTTGAAACTCACAACAGAAGCATAACAACGCGTAAATAAAAGTTTTAAAAAGTTAAGCATTAAGTTTCAGAACAAAAATTTGTGTCACTATATATATATATATATATATATATATATATATATATATATGCCTGTGTGTCTGTGTGTGTATGTGCGTTCGTATGTGCGTGTATGTGTATATGTGTGGTGTGTGTACTGGTCTCTTTAATTTACTTCTGACCCGCCCCACTGACATGACGAGATTCAGTTTGGGTCTCCAGATCAAATATCCAAGTGGATGTTTGCATGGATGCTGTACATACGTTCATACAATTATTATTTGGATGCATATATGTTTAAACAATTAATATATGGATATATATATATATAAATATTATTTGATCTGTGAAAACTTCTTAGTTCGTACACTTGCACGAGTTGGTGTTCATTAACCAAAAACTTATCATTACGCATCATGCTTTTTCACATTCACACCGACATTAAGTAAACTGGTATATGAATTGTTTAGAACTTGTGTGTGTGTACTGTTAAATCACAAAGAGCGTTTGGTTAATAGCTTATGTTCGTGGGTTGTTTAGATAGGTTGTCATAAAAAATTATTTTTTTCACTTTATCAACAATTTAGTCCAACTATATAAACTAAATTTGTGCGCCAAATGACACTCGTCTGTCGTCTCTGAAATAGTTTGACACTCAACTGCAGAAGTCATAACTTACTCGTTGTGATACATTTCAAAGACATCCATCTGCACGATCCTTCCTTCAAACGTGTTAATGTGCGTTGCCATGTGGAATATTGAAGATGCGATTGAAGAAATGATCCCATGATTTATTAGCAAAACGTGTCCTCACAACACATCATTGCAACTTATCATCACTCTGTCGAATAATCCCATTGATTAATCTTTGTCTAGAAGATTTGAAATTTTTAAGCCAGTGTCGGACTTAAAAATAGATTGGAAAAAACAAAAGACTGACTTCTAGTTAACAGAATTATTAATTTAACAGAATTATTATAACAGAGTTATAGGTGATAAGATTTAATTATTAAAATATCTATCAGCCATTATCGTTCAAGTTAAAAAAGAATAACTACAACTTTTAATTAAGCATTCATTCACGCGTAATTTAGAAGTCGTTTGATGTTTCATTCTGCAGGCACATGCTTAAATAAATTATCAACGCTACTTACTCGTGCGACAAGACAGCCATGCGTCGTCTCTTACTCCAATAAACAAACTTTCTCACGGCCTTAAATTAAGCAGCGCCACATTTCATGTTTTTTTTAAAATATTCATTCATTTGTGTTGCGCATGTCCTGTTCATTCAGCAGCCAACACCAGCAACACAGTAACAACATTTAGTTGTGGATCAGACTGCCCGTTGTTTTGTAATACAGATTGTCTTCTGTTTCACCCAAACAGATACATTGCAATATCTCAACGACTAGCAGACTTAAGTGGAAATGCAAAACTGAAATTCAAAAAACTTGAAGACCCCAAAAGTTGTTGTATCTGAAAGGTAGGTGGTTGTTAGTTTTGATCATCATCATCATAAATAACAAACGAATTTTTTAATATTTTTATTCTCAAATATCAGACTCCGACAGACTGAAGTCTGTTACAACACACATACGTGATGATAATGATGATAGTGATGATGATGGTTGTGATGATGACTACTGTAATGACGACGATGACAGGATGAAACAGAACATTCTAACGTGAACAGATGGATGACGTCAGACAAAAACATGACGTAATAAAAATACTGTAACACGACGCCATTCCACAAAATAATTTAAAAGGGTGAATTAACAAACATTACAAAACCATCCGCAAGATTTTTACCTTTGCAACTCTATGTACAGAAAATAATGCAAGCAAAGCATTTTCATTTATGAATTAGCTAATTCGAGCATTAAAAATTATATATATGTATATACGTTTTACTTCGTCCTTTATTGTGCAGCTCTGACACGCGATTGCACATCGTTCTACAACTAATAACTAAAATATTTTATGCTATAAAAGCTGTATACTATCCAGACCCACACCACACGATGTACAAACACCTTAGGCAAGCACTCCATCGCACGCGTAGCACTCCATCGCACGCATATGGTGCTTAATGGTCTTTCAGTTTCGGAGACAGTATTTGTACCGTACCAACGCGCAACATCAACAATGACGACGTGGCACATCTACCGACCGAGATAACTAGACAAACACAAACTAGAAACGGGAAACGAACCGAAACCGAACCTTATTGACGAACGGACCGAACTTTGAAACTTCTGAGAACGATTACCGTCTCGTATATTATTTTGCAATTTAAGTTAAGGGGATTGCAATAAATTGTTTTACCGTTGATGTAAAGTTTTAAATTCATGTGTTGCAACTAATAAAAGAGTTTCAGTGATGTTCTTCGCATCCTTATAGCATAATTAAGCCTAACTAAATCGAACCCAGATAATTTTTTATACATTTACTTAATTATAATTTAGACTTTTCTAAATTAAAAAGCTTTACGGCGGGTGTTCCATCTCAATTTATTACTTAAGAAAACTGCTAAAAAATAAAAACCGAACAGCTTTATCGTGAAGGTGAACAAATTTTTATTTACACTTTACATACAGCATAAATTTACAGCTTTAAAAAAAACTATTGAATGAATCAATGAAACAACAATGGTCACATACACAGAGTGGTGTAGTCGAGCCGGAACGGGCCGGAACGGCGTTCCGGTACTATTTTTTGGAGGCGGAACGCGTTCCGGCACTTTTTTTTACAATTTCAATATAAAAAAAAGTACATTTTACAGGCGTTAAATTTAACTTTGGAAATTAATAGATAATTATAACCAATACCAATACAAACGATGAATAACTTCAATTTTTTTATTTAAACTGTTTATTATTCAACGCTATATCATTGTTGCTATGCTTACGGTTTAGTAATCATTGTTTCAAATTATATTTGCGTTTTTTGCGGAAGTTAAAAAAGTAATTTTTTTATTTTATTTATTTTACATTTACTTTAAATATTATGCTTTTTATTACTTACTGTTTTTTTTAAATCAAATTGTTTAAATACATTTTTATATAGGAAAGTGGGGTAATAAATAAAAAAATGTTAGGCTCCATCCGTAAAATAAAATATATTATAAATTATTTGTGTATACAACAATATTATCATTGTGATATTATAATTTATATTATTATTAATGTTATTTTTAGAAGGATATAAATTTGCGTGAGTCCAGATGTCAAAAAAACGGGAAATAAATACCATTCTTGATTTTTTTTGTAAAAAACAAAAGCGTGACAATGAAGATGAAGATTCTGCCAATACCAACTTAGAATTGATAGAAAATGAAAGTGAGAATGGGAAACCTGAAGAAATAAAACCATGTTTTCCCAGCATTTGGACAGCTGATATGTGGGCTGAAAAGAAAAAAAACTATAATTGGCTTACTTGCAATTCAGAAAAATTAGGATGTTTATTATGCACTAAAGTAAGAACTTTGGGACCATCCAAATCTCAAGGTGTCAGCATTTCAAAAGAATGGAGTACCGCAACTGTAATTTATTATGGAAAAGACAAAAGTTCACAGTTGACGTCTTTGAGAAAAAAAATTCATGAACATGCTAAGAGTGCAGCACATATCAGTGCCGAGAAAATTTTACTAGAAGCAGAAAAAAAACCCATGGAAAAAGTAATAGATCAATTAAACAACTCTGCTGTAAGTTCTACGTCTAAAATTTTTCGTACAGCGTATTACATAGCTAAACATGATCGTCCATTCTCAGATTTATATGACTTATCACAATTACAAGAATTAAATGGAACAAATATTGCTCCTGGATTGAAATCAAGATTTTCTTGTACTAATGTTATTAATCATATCGCTAAACAAATGAAATCAAAAATATGCCAAACAATTATTCAGAAAAATGGTAAAATATCGATTCTTGTGGATGAATCTACTACGCTCAGTAAAAAATCAACTCTGATTATTTATTTTAAGTGTGAAATAAATAAAATGGAAGATCCGCATTATCTCTTCTTAGATTTAGTTGAATTGGAAAGCCAGACTGCCAACAACATTACAAATAGTCTTTTAAACTGTCTTGCAGGTTACGAGTTTGATGACCATTATTTGGCACACAATTTAATTTCCTTCACCAGTGACGGTGCGAGCGTCATGTTCGGGCGGAATACTGGAGTCTCCACTCAACTTACAAACAAATATCCAAACCTCATTAAATGGCACTGTGTGAATCACCGACTAGAATTATCTGTTGGCGATGCAATAGATGAAGTACATGGAATTAACCATTTTCAAATTTTTATGGATAAACTATACACTCTTTACCACCAGTCACCGAAAAATCAAAGGGAATTGGAGTCATGCGCACAAAACCTAGACACAGAAATAAGAAAAATTGGCCGTGTGTTAGGTATTAGGTGGGTGGCAAGTTCATTTAGAACAGTAGCTGCGGTTTACCAAAATTTTGAAGCGTTGTGCAAACATTTCATACAAGCTAATCAAGATGTGAATCGATCCAAAACAGAACAATGCATGTATCTTGGTCTTTATAAACACATTTCATCAAAAGAATTTTTGTTAAATTTAGCGCTAATGTATGATGTCCTTTATGAATTGTCCCTGCTATCTGAGGCATTACAAAACAGAGGTACTACGATTATTTACGCAGATAAAAAAATTCGCCAAAGCATACGATATTTAGAATCTATGAAAAATGCTGAAAAAGGGAATAAATTAATTGAAATTGCAAAAGCGATTGAAAAAATGAAATTGGGAACAGTAACTATTACAGGTAATAGCAAAGTATCTGTCATTAATAGAAATCAATTTCTGCAAAGTATTATCAACAGCATAAATCGCAGATTAATTGTAAACTCGGTATCACCTGAAACAAATATTGTAAATGAATTTCGAATTTTAGAAAAAAACGAATGGCCAAGTGACATTCCGCTTGGATATGGAGAAAAAGAAATTCATTAACTTTGCAAAAGGTTTAATTTGTCGTCTAAAAAATGTTATAGTGAATACAGAGATTATTTAGATGATGGAGGAAGAAATCCACCTGCAGACCACTTAAATCAGTTAATGTTGTATGGCAAACTAATACCTTGTAGCTCTTCTGAATGCGAAAGAGGTTTTAGTAATATGAACCTCATATTAAATGACAGGAGAAATCGCTTACTTATTGAAAATGTTTCAAATTTATTATTTATTAAAATGCACGGACCACCACTAAATATTTTTAATCCTGAAAATTACGTTATAACATGGCTTCGAACACACCGCTCTGCTGATGATAACCAGACAAGAAAATCTTCATCAGAAAACATTTCAATTAACTCTCTTTGGAAATTGTTGTAAAATTAAAATATATGAATTAAATAAAGATTAAAAATAGTATGTCGAAATAAAACCGTTTTTTTTATCCTTCTTTACTTCTTATATTTTATTATCTTTTAGCCGTTCCGACGCCGTTCCGGTACTTTTTTTTTTAGGACTACACCACTGCACATACATACACTACAAGTCTACGCAAACATATATTCATAAATTTCCACACATTCAAGCACATACTCATACACTGACATACACACACGTACCCACACACATACGCATACAGACTAGAAAGCAAATATTGAACAAGATGAAGTTAAATGTCCCACAAGACCACGGATACTTCATCCAGGGAGAGATTCTTTCAAAAACAACCACAGACCACTGTGGATGATTTATATTTTAACAAAAAATAATTTTGAATATAAAATGTTAGAACTATTAATACTGATAGCAATGATAGAAGCACCTGTAACATGTCTACAAGCAACAATAATAATATAGTAAACTGAGTGATTTGACTACCTACTTCATCAGCCATAACTGTAGAAACATTGCCTGTCAGACTATTCCATAATTCATTCATTCATTTGTTTGTTCGTTCATTCGCTCAACATTATCTAATTCTAAGTAGAAGGCTAGTTGTAGTTGTGATGCTGAAATGAAAATTACAACAAATATATATGTCTGTGAAGCGAAATACATTTCCGACAATTTGGGACAAATCAAAAGGAAGCTTTATTTGATAATTCTTAAAAACGGAAAATAAAAGAAAGAGGAAACAAAACTGGGACGAGACGAACCACTGAACCAGATCAGCCCCAATGATATCGTACAAGTGGTACATGAAGCCGAGGCAGGCCGATCTCAGGAATGGTCTCTTCTCCAGCTCCTGTTGAATGGAATCACGCTCGCCACAATAACGAAAGTTGCAACAATTGAAAAATCATTTTTCCAGCAATTTTATTGTTAATTAATTTAAACAAAAACAAAGAAAAAAAATAAATGAACTAAGCAAACCAAAAAAGTTAACCAAAATTACAATTAACAAGATAAACCGAAATAAACACAACAAATGGAACAAGACAACAACAGACGTTGAGTAGTATTTCCTTGTGCCTGGTCTTCCTCACCATGGACAGGATGTACTTGCGTCCTTTCGAGAGGGTCTTAAGAAACAAACCTGCGGGAAAATAAATATACTCATTACAATCATTCGTCATCTTCATTACTCACCACCACCACCACCATCATCATAGTAGTCATACAGTTATTTATAACCATTAATCATTGTCATCAATGTTATTATCATTTTAACGTCATGTTATCAACGCAAGCTTCATGAATTTTTTATTATTAAACATCGCAGAGCACATCTGAACCTTTCAGATAAACAATTGTTTTATTCGCATTAAAAAATGTTTAAAAGGGAAGCCAACAAAACTGCGAGAAAATCTAATATATATATATATATATATATATATATATATATATATATAATAATACATAATAAAATAATATTAGTCGAAATTTCGGTTACAAAGTCAAAGTGATATTAATGTTGGCGGCGAGATATCGCAATGGGTTTGATCTTGAAGGAGATCCCTGCCCTAACATCACTATAAAAAAGTGTAATGCGTTGATTCGTGCACGGTGTGTGTGTGTGTTTGTTTGACATCTCTGAGCAAAATAATACGAGGGAATATTAATAATAATAACAACATTCAAAATAATAGTAACCGGCTTTAGGGAAGGTGATCCACCAATCACCAACATCTCTTATTGCTAACAGGGACAGACTGACAAGCTTCCTGTATTGATCGATCCGTGTACACCAATATATATATATATATCAAAGCAAATCACTTTTATTCAATCAAACAAAACAAAAAGCATGAATGATTCGGAGACCAAAAAAAGAAAATTAATTCTTGTGGGCTCGGCCACCGTGCAGCTCAAAATAGCTTCTCAATGATAAAATAAAATTGTCAATAGGAGAAAATGTATCAATGTTAATGAAATATGTACACACTTATATACATATATATACATATACATTATTATCCTTGAAAAACAGAACTTTTCGTAATTAAAAAATTTTTCAGTTTATTTTTAAAAAGATGCAAAGTGTTACAATCTTTAATTTCTTGTGGAATCGTCTCCCATATTCCTGGGCCGGTGTGTTTCAAACTCATGCAGAGTACTTTAATTCTGGCTGGTGGAGCATAGAAAAGTGGCGTGTGGCGTGTAGTTCTTGTTTGAATGGAAGTTCCAAAAGTGAAAAAGTTTCTAAAAAATGCCGGCAATTGCTGACGTAGAAATCTAAAAATGAATGTTGCAACGTGGTAGATGAACAAGTTTTTGATGTTGAGTATTTTCATCTCGAGATAATATTCACTTGTGTGACAATGAGGATGAAGATTTTTAAATATTCTGATGAATCGGTTTTGGCATTTTGTTAACTGTTTCAGATGAATGTCAGGACTGTTTCCCCAAATTACGTTGCAGTAGATGAGGTGAGGAAAGATTAACGAATAATGCAGGTCAATTAGAGTAGGTTTATTTAATTTATTTTTAATTTTGCTTATAACTCCTAGGGTTTTGCATATTCTTTTAGACATAGTATCTATGTGAATATCCCAAGAAAGATTGTCCTTGATTGTTACTCCAAGGAATTTTGTGCTGGTTGAGCGAGGAATAGAAATATTGTTCATTTTTATGTCTAGGTTAGGTATAATATTTGTTAAAATTTTCGGACCAAAAATAATGTAATTACATTTAGAATAATTTACTATTAATTTATTTTTGATAAACCAGGTTGGTATATTTTGAAGACTGTTATTGATGTATTCTACTTCTTTCAATGGGTCTTTAGTTGGGAAGAAGATGTTAGTGTCATCTGCATATACAGTGGCGTAACGAGGGGGGCAGAGGGGGACAGTTGTCCCCGGGCGCAGGGCTGGGGGGGCACAATATCAGTGACCAAAATATCAGTGACCAAAAAGGTTTTTTTATTATTATTTTGCTTTACCTAGTAATTTCTGTGTCTGTCCTTTAGAACAGGTCAGTCACAGTGCAGTTAAAAGCTTGTATAGATTATGCTCTATAGTCTATAGTATAGTATCTTTGTGGTATAGCTGCATTGGGTTAGTCAGTATAGCTGCCTACAAATACCTGCTATTACCAGTGATGGGCATAGTTTAATTAAATAGTTGCAAACTAATAGTTTAACTACTTTTTTTTAGTTTCCTTCCTAGTTTAACTAAAAAAAAATAGTTTAGTTAAAATAAAACGATAGTTTAACTAAAATATTTTAGTTGCTAACTAAATTGTTTAAAATATTTTAGATAAATATCTTTTATCCATGTCTTGACTTATGGTTTTTGAATATTAATTTTAATTTGTAAAAAGTTAAGCTTTCCATATTTTTAAAGCAAAGTATTTGAATTATCTAATGGATTCAGCAAGTGGATGAAGCCAGAGAAACTAGCGGCTCACGAGAACAATCCTTTCCACCGGAAATCATTTAATGCATGGAAAGAAGCAGTGCGCAGATTGATTCAAGGGAAAACAATCGATGCATCTCTTGAAGCTGAAATTTAGTCAGAGGTTGCACGATGGCGAGATGTTTTGAAGCGAATACTAAATTGTATAAAATTCTTGGCCACTCAAAACTTGGCATTGCGTGGACACATTGAGAAACTTGATGCCACAGGAGACAAAAATGTAGGAAACTTTTTGTCTGTTCTTCAACTTCTAGCTCAGTATGACCCAATTTTGCAGTCACACTTTGACCATGCTAGAAAGAATCCAGGATCTGTTACATAAATTCAGAATGAGTTCATCAGCATTCTTGCTTCGAATATGAGAAATCAATTGCTGATTAACATCAGAAAAAATAAATACTACGGGATTTTGTTTAATTCAACTCCTGACTTGGCACACAGGGAGCAAATGTCTGAAGTTATCAGGTATGTTGACAAATTTTGATGAGAGGGAGGTTGTAATAAAAGAGTCATTTCTTGGCTACATCGAAATTCATGGAAAAGATGCAGCCTCGATTGAAGAAAAGAATTTGCACAAAAAATAACAAGGCATTGTTTGTGAATTGTGACAATCACAGCTTAAACTTGTCAGGGGTGCATGCTGCAAGTCAAGATCCAATTGTAGTTACTTTTTTTGGCACCATTAAAAAATTTATCTATTCTTTTCAAGATCAACCCATCGATGGGAAAAACTTAAAGAAGCAGTGACCATCACAGTCAAACGTGAATCAGAAACACGATGGAGTGCTAGAGCAGAATGTGTTAAAGCAATTCATGATGGACTTGATAACATAGTCAGTCTACTGGAAAAAATGTCTGAAGATACAACTGAAACACAAGAAACTAGAGGCGATGCTGTAATTCTGCTACAAAGTATTCTTAGTTTCAACTTCTTAGTTTTCCTTCCTTTCTGGCATGACATACTCAAAAAAATCGACCGTGTTCAGAAAAGACTTCAAGATCCAACAATGAATTTCCATGAAGCGTCTTTGGATATTGAATCTCTGCACATGGATATTACAAGAATTCGTGAAGACATATGCAATGATTCAGTGCTAAAAGCAAAGGAAAAATGTGAGCTATGGGGTGTGGCTGTAGAAAGTAGAATCAGGCGACGGAGAAGGATGCCTGGAGAACTTGCCCGAAATGCAGGACTTTCGGCAGAAGAAGAAATTGTTCGTATCATGAAGAGTATTTTAGATCGACTCGAACAGGAGGTGACAACAAGGTTTACTCGTCTCAAAGATCTGAACTTCAAATTCGGATTCTTACTTGATGTAGACAAACTTTTGAATGACAAAGATCTTAACAGTCTCCGTCAGCATTGTATTGACTTTGGAAATTTTCATGACTCGGATGTGGAAGGAATTGAGTTATTAAATGAAATATGTGACTGCAGAATGCTCCTTGAGACCCGCCAGGATACTGCACCAAAGACTCCTACAGAACTCTTGTCATTCATTATTAGTTACGGAGAAGATGTTTTTCCAAATTTGCGTGTTGCTCTACAAATCCTTCTTACTATAGCTGTCTCGATTGCCAGCTGTGAGCGATCCTTCAGTAAATTAAAAATAATTCTTTCCTATCTTCGAGCATCCATGGGACAAGATAGACTCAGCGAGCAGGCCCTAATGAGTGTGGAGACGGAAGTTCTTGAACAGATTGATTTTGATGATATAATTAACCAGTTTGCTGCAGTAAAAGCAAGAAAAATAAATTTTCTTTAAAATTCTGCTCATTTCCTAACCACAATTTCTAGACAATACTTAGCTGTTGTTTTGTTTTTAAATTTAATAATTTTTATTTCACACTTCTGACTCAGCGGACAATAAAAATACAGAATTATAAAAACTACTTGAAAGAATCTAATTATATACATCAATCATAATCATTTTTTTTTTAATCATAATAATCTTTTTTGCCAAATAAATGATTAAATGATAATCATTAATATTTTGTATTACAATATAATAGTTAAGAACTGAGAAAGAATAATACAATTATGGTGTAAGGTGCAATATGCATATAGAAACATGAATACACTGAAATGCATTGTATATAGGCGTCACGGAGTGTAGCCTACTTCAAATACTGAGTACGGCAGTTATATTTTATATAGTTTGACAGATTTTATGTATGGGGCGCAAATTTTTTGTTTTGTCCCCGGGCGCAGAAGACCCTAGCTACGCCACTGTGCATATAGAAAGTGATTTGCATCAGTTGCATGTTGAAAATCGTTCATGAAGATTATGAATAGAAGAGGACCTAAAATTGATCCTTGTGGCACGCCTGATCTTACGTTAAGTTTTGGCCCTAATGAGTGTGGAGAGGGAAGTTCTTGAACAGATTGATTTTGATGATATAATTAACCAGTTTGCTGCAGTAAAAGCAAGAAAAATAAATTTTCTTTAAAATTCTGCTCATTTCCTAACCACAATTTCTAGACAATACTTAGCTGTTGTTTTGTTTTTAAATTTAATAATTTTTATTTCACACTTCTGACTCAGCGGACAATAAAAATACAGAATTATAAAAACTACTTGAAAGAATCTAATTATATACATCAATCATAATCATTTTTTTTTAATCATAATAATCTTTTTTGCCAAATAAATGATTAAATGATAATCATTAATATTTTGTATTACAATATAATAGTTAAGAACTGAGAAAGAATAATACAATTATGGTGTAAGGTGCAATATGCCTATAGAAACATGAATACACTGAAATGCATTGTATATAGGCGTCACGGAGTGTAGCCTACATCAAATACTGAGTACGACAGTTATATTTTATATAGTTTGACAGATTTTATGTAGGGGGCGCAAATTTTTTGTTTTGTCCCCGGGCGCAGAAGACCCTAGCTACGCCACTGTGCATATAGAAAGTGATTTGCATCAGTTGCATGTTGAAAATCGTTCATGAAGATTATGAATAGAAGAGGACCTAAAATTGATCCTTGTGGCACGCCTGATCTTACGTTAAGTTTTGTTGAGGAGTGACTTTTTATTGCCACATACTGGTCTCTGTTCTCTAAATAACTTTTGAACCATGCACTTACTTTTCCTCTTATTCCATGTGAATTTAATTTTTTAATCAGTATATCGTGGTTGATGACGTCAAAGACCTTTGAGAGGTCTATGAATACACCTACAGTTAGTATCTTTACGTTAAGATTATTCATAACATTTTGTGCTAATTGCAGCACAGCTTGCTCAGTTGAATGCTGTGCTCTGTAGCCATATTGATTATCATTTAATAATTTATTTATGGACAGAAATGAGGTGACTCTGACAAAAATTATTTTTTCTAGTACTTTGGAAAGTGGAGAAAGTAGATATATTGGTCGATAATTACTTGTCTCTAATTTGCTCCCCTTTTTGTGAATTGGAACTACTCTGGATGTTTTGAAGCATTGTGGAAATATTCCTTGGACGATGGAAAGATTGTAAATATGAGTGATTGGGATGACAATTTCTGGGATGATTTTTTTAAGTAGATTGTTACTTAAAGTATTATCTGACGTGCTTTTTTTGTTGCTTAAGTTTTGAACAATGTACATTACTTCTTCTTCATTGGTGGAGTTCATATACATTGATTTACAGATTGCACTATTTATTTTTAATTTATCTTCAGTAACTATTTGATTTTCTAACAGCTTCTCTGAGACATTGATGAAGTATTCATTGAAAAGAATACTTATTTCCTCTGGGTCTTCGATGATTTTGTCGTCAACTTTTAGCTTATTAATTTCAAGATTGTTTTGTTTTCTATTCATTATACCGTTTATTATTTCCCATTTTTGTTTGGAGCAACTCTTTGCCTCTTCAAATTTTTGTTGAAAATAATTTTGTTCTGCCTTTCTCTTTACTGATGTAAAGTAATTTCTAAACTTTTTATATTTTTCAACATTAGCGGAGTTTGGTGCAGCGACTGCTAATTTATACAGTCGATTCTGTTTTTTTGATAATTTTATTATTTCATCAGATACCCATGCTTTTTTATATTTTTGTTTCTGCCACTGCAGAGGTGCGTATGTGTCAAGAGTTTTATTGAGTATATTGTAAAAATTCAGGCATGCTGTATCTATATTATTCTCGTTTTTAACTGAATGCCAATTTTGAAGTGAGAGGGTTTTTTTAATAAAGAAAATGGATGTTTTATTAATTTTTCTACATAAAATTTGGTCATCATTGATAGCAGTTTTAAAATTTTCTACTATTGCATAAACTGGAAAATGGTCAGAAAAGTCTGAGACTATGACTGCACTTTCGCAATGTTGATACAGGTTCGTAAATATGTTGTCGATTAATGAGTTGGCGTTACAAGTTACTCTTGTTGGTAAATTAATTAAAGGCGAAAAACAAAATGAAAATCTTGAAAGTCTTTAGAATCATTTGAATCATTGTCCAATAAATTAACATTAAAGTCGCCCACTATAACAGTTTTGTCAGCGGGTTTGATGGCGTGTAAAATCAAATTGATTTTATTTAAAAAAGGCTCAAATTTATAATTGGGTGGGCGGTATATCGCGATAACTTTTAGCACACCCCTAGATGAAGCATGCCCCGATTCAATGTCCACACAGAGAACGTTGACATTTTCATCATCAAATGCACTGTTATCATTTACAACATATTTGATGTCATGCTTTATGAACACACCAACACCTCCGCCTCGTTTGCTTTTTCTATTTTTATATACAAAATTGTAATTATTTAACTTAATTAAATCAACTGTTTCATTCTTCAACCACGTTTCTGATATTACTATAATTTTGAAAAAGTCGTCGAATTGTTTTAAGAAGATTTCTAGATTTAATAATTTATGAAACAAACTTCGAGCATTCAGATGAATAATTGGTAGGTGATTGTTTTTCATTTTATTCTTCAATTTTATTATGTTAGATAATTCTTTTACAGTGTAATATTTTGATTCTTCGAGATTCTCTTCTATGAAGTTTTTATTCATTGCTATTTTTAGTTGAAACAACATTTGCCGACAGGTCATTGACAACATTTGCCGACAGATCATTGAAACACCATTCGCTGGCCAGTTTTCTGCATTCATGAACTCAGCTGAGTCTGTTTCATAAATACAAACTCTGAATGCAGCGCTTGTCTGTTGAACATCGATTTTGTCAGAGTTCGTGTTTAGTATGTTGATCGATGTTGTAGCTTGCTTTGAGCGGCGATTAAAAATTGAGTTTTTGATTGCTGAGCAACCAAGCACCTCAATTTTCAATCCATTTATGTGTTCGCTTAACTCTTTTGCAGTGCATTGCTGGTCCAATCGACCAACGTAAAAAACTTTTCTTTTTGGCGAAGGTTTCATCGCTTTCAAATTTGTTTGTTTATCAGTTTGGGTGCCTATAACTGTTTTCATATTTGCTATGTTAGTGTTGTGTGTTTTTTTCTTTGTTTTCAACATGTTGATGTTCGCCCCGTGTTGAACATTCGCCACGTGTTGAACATTCGCCACGTGTTGAACATTTGAGCTCTTTTTAATTTTACGTTTTACAATCTCTGACCAGTCAGATTGCTTGCTCGATTCGGTCTTGCAATCGGATTGCTGCTTTCTTTCTACTTTTGGGCTATTGTTAATAGCCGCATTATTTACTATTTCTCGGAAGATGTTTCTTTCTTCAATAAAAAGTTCTTCTAATTTTCTTAACTTTTCGTCAAGAATTGACTCAAATTTAGCTTTTTTTGAGCTTGGAATTTTAAAAAGGTTATATATATATATATCAATCAATCTTCGTTTTCCGTCCAGAGACCCGGTTTCCCGAGGTAGGACGTTGTTTTCTTTGCCATCAACTTTTTGCGCCAAATTAGACAATCAGTTGTATCCATTTCATTTAAATTTAGAGCTTTTATGTCTTGCTCGATTGTTTGCGACCAGGACTTCTTTGGACGGCCTTTGGGACGTGTGCCAGGTACTTCAACATCTGCAAGAAAAGTTTTGGCACTGTTTCCACTTCGTTTGACATGACCAAACCACCGCAGACGGTGTTGCCGGCATTCGTCCTTTGTATCATCTAAACCAGAACGACGCAGGATTTCGGTAGATTTGATGTGGTCCTTCAGACTAATTCGTTGCATCCATCGGAGCATTTTCATGTCGGTTCGTTGAAGTTGTTGTTCCAGTTTGGTTGTCATTGGCCATGTTTCTGCACCATATAACAACACCGGACGTATCACAGATTTATAAAGTCATGATCGTAGTGGTAGTGGGATGTATATATATATATATATATATATATATATATATATATACATATATATATATATATATATATATATATATGTATGTATATTTGTGTTCAGACTGTCGTATATACAATTATTAAGAAATATCATAGATGTTACGTTGAGACGTCTATGGCATGTGAATACGTTCATGCATGTGTGCGTGTGCACACGTGTGTGCATGTGTGTGCGTGACTGTATGCTGTGCGTGAACGTGCAAAAGCGAGCGTGCACTAAAAACGATAACATTAAAAACAGCATTAACAATAAGTTCACTCACAAATAATATGGAAACATCAACAACACCATCGCCCTCAACAGCACCACCACCAACAACTACATACAAGATCTCCTTCTCATTGAATCCACTCTGAATGAACCTTTCTTTCTTGACGCTCGTACCAGCTTCCCCCATCACTATCTTCTCAATAAATCGTTCTGCCAGTGTCATTTTTGATGGTGGTGGCGATCAACCCGTGTTTTTCTCAATATTAAATAATGCACATCACTTTAGCATTTCATCACCCCAATATATAACTACAGAATTTCATCGTAACTTCCATGATGATATCAATCAAGACGAAGAGATTACGATGATGAAGAGATCACGAATAGCAACAGAAAATGTATTGTTGTTGTCATTGAACAGAAAACTAAGCAACTGCCGTGTATATGTGTGTGTGATTTTGAGATGATTGAAATATTTTGAAAAAGACACATGAGTATTAAACTACTTTTTTTTAATTGAAACCTTAAACCTCTACTGATGTTGTTATAGACTTACAACAAATGAAAAAAATGGAACATACAAACTCAATGATAAACTTATATGATAACATAACATAACAAACATCACTTCAAACAATTAAAATAAACATGGAATCTATATATCAAGAAGATTTGAAAGATAAATGCACATGAAACTAGAGAACCAGGCACAGTCACCTCACCCACCAACAAGTTCAGAATTCTCAGTATCTTGGTAGCATCTTGTAACGTATGCAACATAATCATCCATGAACAGAATGTTGTATTCGTTTGATGTGCTCGTCAACTTCAAAACTCGAATCTTGAAGTCTGATCTCAATTTGTTCTTTGGAGGTAGAAAGGGTTATTTCAAAAATCAACCAATAATTAATCATCAATTGTAAATTGATTCGCGAAACAATTTCTGGTAGAGCTAAGGTCAAAAATGACAAAAATAATTAAAAGTTTCAAATAATTATTGATTGTTGTTTAAAGCAGGGCATCGAACCGGAACTGAACCGTAACCGAAAACCGTTAAAAAGCGAAATTTTGCTCGAAACAAAAACCGTAACCGAGCCGAAATATTGTTTGCTAGTTTAACCGAAACCGAAAACCGTAACGAAATAAATAACGGTTCGATGCTAAAAATTTAAAAAAAAATATTTTTGTTAAATTCAAAAAAAAAATATTTAGATAATATTTCGTCTTTTAAAATGTTAATATTTATTATCTTTGAAAATTTGTTTGTTTTTCCAACTGAGTAAGAATTGCCACATGAAGAGAAATCTAGTATAATCGAAGAAATTACAGATCAAGTGCGATCATTCTTAAAATTTTGAAGTACAAGCTACACAAGTGAGCCCGAAAGCATCTGTTTCTGGATTAAAATTTGTCCTCAGAGACTACAGAAGTGGTTTAAATGAAAACATTTTAGAAGATATATTATTAATCAGAGGAAATTTTCATCTTTTTTGAAATAATCATATATTTATATAAGTGACTTCAAAATATCTTTATAATGATTGTTTTAATTTGTTGAAAAAAAATATTAGAAACGTTTCCTGTTATACTGACAACATTTAAAAATCATTTTTGTTATTGATTTCTTATCATTCACAATATAAAATATAATTCAAATTGGCATTGTGTTGATAGTTGGATGTCCGTATGTCCGCTACATGCGTTTAAGGAGCTATGCTTGAAAAAATTAAGTTTCGGAGCGAAACCGAAAACCAAAAAACCGATATTATTTCAGAAACAAAAACCGGAACCGAACCGAAATTCGTTTTGCTGATTGAACCGAAACCGCAAACCATAACGAAAAAAAATACGGTTAGATGCCCTGGTTTAAAGAAGAATTGAATTCACCCACAATCTCCTTGTCGACGATGGTCCTGTTGCTGATCAAGCTGTAGAGCTGATGTTGGAAAAATATCATCGGAATATTTACGGCAAACTTTGTGGATGAGAAGATCTCCTTCATGTGCGACAATGCATCGTCCACATTTTCAAATCCTTCAGAATCATGAAGAGAGATTTTATCATTCAACTGTCAGTGGTGATAAATAATTTTTCCACCACTGTCATCATCATCATCACCCATCATAATCATTATCTGTACTCGTAATTGAAAAGTACAGCTGACATAATCTAAACAAATTTTTCAATGTAAGTTTAACAATGAAAGCAAGAAACCAGCTTATCTACATACTTGCCAGAGAGATTAAGTTCTCACTTTTCTGTTGTTTTGATGATTTATTTTGAATAGTGGTCGATGATCTCTTCATAATTATGCTATATACTACTTATTCCCAGCTTTTCTGCAGTTATTATATGAATTTTGAAAAATTTTCAAAGACTACTTGAATTACTGTTCATGGGAATAAATTTTATTGTACTTCACTTATTCGTTCATTTACTTTTTCATCCATCCATCTATGTCTACACTCATTACAGTTTAAAAATGGAAGCCATTTGACAAGTCTGTATGGATAAATAAATTAATCATTTCTCAAATCAATAGATAAAACCAAATTAATTACAATTCATAATATATTATGATAAAATCTACATTAAACTGAAAAATTTTAAATTACAACATATGAGTATACAATTATACATGATATGATTAACCTCCAAAAACAGCATATTAACATGCTAAAATAACTCTTCTAAAATTAATGATGTTTCTTATTATAATATAATAATTAAATTACTTTATATAAATAATAAAAATAATAACAACGCTGTTATTGCTTTGCGCTTTTTTTACTTATATTATTGAAAAAAATGAATGGCTAATTTTTTAATATTTAATTTGTTTACTGTACTACACTGTCACTGGCCAAATCGACGTTATTCATAATATTGAGTCAACAACTTCCCATGTTAGTGCAGCAGTGTATGGGTGGGTAACATACAACGCAAACCGTATAAAAATTATCAGGGGGCTAGAAGCGTGACCTATCGCCAGGACGCTGATGACCAACCCTACCTCAATGACCACTGTCGCCGAGATGAAGATCGTGGTGGAAGAGATAGGATTGGGAACACTGGGCAGCTCTATATGGGAATCAGCTACTGGTGAGGTGATCATTCAAAGAATCAAAATAAAAAAAAATCATTTTATTTTTGCTATAAAAGCAGGGAGAGACTGAACTTCAAAAGAACTTTTACGGTCCCCGGTAAATAATAAAAAATAAAACATAAAATAGAAATAGTGTATAAACGATGAAAATTTAGAAAATGAATAATGACATAAATTGATGAAATAATGAACATAAAGAAATAATGTAGTTTAAAAATCTGTTTAGATTTGTTAAACTATCGGAATACCAGAGGCATCGCAATCTCAAAGTTCATCCCTCCAAGGCTGATTGAACATTCAGAAAGTCACCTTGCAACATTGAAAAAACAAAACTGTCAAATTATGACATGGAAGATGTTTTGATTAAAAAATTTTTATATCTGGAATTGCCCAATTCCTAACGGCAACCACCAGTCATAAGCAGTGGGTCTAGCCTTTTTGCTGGAAGCACACAAGGCGGTGTGATTGCAGTCTATCTCGTGCCCAGGAGAGCACTGTTGTAAGCAATGCACCTAGCCTTTGGGTCAAAGGTCCCTGTTCCACAAGGCAGTGGATTTAGAATCAAAGATCATCCGCTGTTGGAACCGTTGTCCTAGGATCCTCCGCCTCTTTCACCGTTGTCTTTTTTCTTCTGGTATAGTTGGTTCGCGGCAACTTATTCCATATTATTTGATGCAATCTTAGAAGGTCTCCCTGCCCAGGACTATCCCCTATCCACCACCTGGAGACGCGCTTCATAGCCAGTGCACCCCAGCATGAATAGCAAGTCAAAAAAAACTATTCAGTTCACAGCTGAACAAAACCTACTTGGCCAACTGTTACTCTTGTCGAAAAATTAAAATAAAGATTTTTACAAACTTTTACACATTCATTAAGTCCAATACATTGGCTGTTAGAAAAAGCAGATGGAGGTTTGGTCAAAACTAATAAATCACAGTAGATGCACATTTTAGAGTCAAAAGCCCTATTACACTCACTTGTTCGAATACATGATACATTTGGTGAATTGGCGTTAAATGTTTTCAATTGTCTGCCAAAGGTTGAAAACGTGCACTTCATAATGGACTCTTATCATGCTGGTAGTATGAAAAATTGAACGACTTCGACGTGGATCATCAGCTCCACAGGTCACAGACTCCTTGGGATTTTTCAAGTTTTATACATAATGTTGACAACAAAAAGCAGCTAATGAAATTTATTCTACAACAATGGCAACTGCCATCTTATGCTCATTTACTTCAAAATCGAACAGTTTATTATACATGCAAGGAAAAATGCTTTCGTTTACGTTCAAATGTAAGAAATGTGTTCATGGTGTGATTAATATGACGGACGCAAGGATGGGATTGAATGGTGGTATTGAAAGAGTGGAAAGCTTTGTTTATTTAGGGGTTAAGCTGAATGCGGATGGAGGATGTCTGAGCGCTGTTACGGCAAGAGTTCGTGTGGGATGGATGAAATTTAAGGAACTGGGTGGGGTATTGTGTGGAAAGAAATGGTCAGTGAAGATGAAAGGGAGGGTATATAAAGCATGTGTGAGAGCAGCGATGGTATATGGTGGTGAAACTTTGGTGTTGAGGAGAGAGGAGGAAAGTGTACTGCAGAGGGCTGAAAGAGCTATGGTGAGGATGATGTGTGGGGTTGAAGTGAAGGATAGAAGTAGTACAGAGCTGATGTCGATGATGGGACTGAATGAGGATATTGTGACATTAATAAGGAGATCGAGATGTGTTGAGGAGGGATGAAAGGGTCGGGATTAGGCGAGCGTTGGGTTAGGGTATGGATGCAGCTCCTGTATTTTTTTATCATCAATATGTTTAATTTAATTTTAATTTTATAAAAAAGTTTTGAATTTGCTCCCCCTGGGGTAAATAGGGTTTGTAGGTAGCTTATTAAAAATTAAATCTAACATTCCGCAGTTCAAAAGTTAAGTTTAGTTAAAGTTTTTAAATTAAATTAAATTAAAGTAATTTAAAATAGTTTAAAGTTTACTTTTAATTAAAATTAAAAGTAAAGTAAACTGTTAATGTTTAAAATTTTTAAATTTAAAGTAAACTGTTTAAAAGTTAAACTTTTTAATTTAACAAAAGTGCAAAACAAGAGAAGTCATTTAAATAATTAGGCCTAGGTGAAATTTAAAAAACAAAAAGAGCCGTCAAAAATGAAAAAATAACTTGGCCAACATAAAAAGGCGAATAAACGCGAAAAATATCTTTGAAAGTTTTCATTGTAAACAAAACACAAACGTTACCGTTGGCCCTCACATTTCATCGTCCATCTAACTAAGCAGGCAACATCACAACTAGAATTAAACAATGCAAGAATGTGAAGAAAGAAATATAATCCATTTTCCATAGCATCTAACACTAGCCAAATTTGCTAGTTTTTTGTCTCAGATTTAACTTCATATATTATATATGTGTGTTTAAATTAACAATTTTTAAATCACCAATTTGTCTCAAATTTTATCTCACATGTATTTATGTTTTTACTACTAATTTTTATAAATAAGTTATTTAAAAATTTAAATTCAACAAAAATCAACAAAAATTTATTTATTTAAATAAAAATCATTTAAAAATTATTACGAATTATACTTTCACCACTTTTATTTCTTTGCACATATAAACCGGTTTGTTTACATCATTTGTATTATAACTTCGCTCAGATTCTTATCGGTCATTGTCGCTTCAAAATGGCGAAGCATCATCCGGACTTGATATTCTGCCGAAAACAGCCAGGAGTTGGTTAGTTAAGTTTTGGTTTTCATTAATTTTAATTTTTTCAATATTTTCCGAGTAAACAACTTTCCGTCCTTCCTAGAGAGTCTGGAGGGGTGCTGCACTCCAACTTTTATTTACAATTCAATTAAAATTTAAAATTATTAATAATTAAATTAATAAACAGAAAGAAAAAGCTATTTGTATGAAAAATGCAAATCGCACACCACATGGGCTGAAGATACACTTGGACCACCTTATTATAAATAAGCAAACTTCTATCTTACAATCACAATGAAAATCTCTAAAATATATCTATAATAGTCTTTTTTTATGCCCTTTTAATTTAATTAATCTAATTTCTCTACAACGAATAAAATTGATAAAAGTTAAAATTAAAAGAAATATCTGACCAGCAAACATTTTTTGAATTGATGTGAGCTGTGTTTTGTACTCCTTCATCTTAGATTCTAAGATATGGTGTTAAGACTTGACTTAGAACCATAATTATCGCTCTAATTTTCTAGAAATTTTTGCGAATTTTACCTTGATTAATTTCATTTGAATCTGAATCATGGTTGCATGGAACGAAGAATAAATTTCACTTTTAAAATTTTAATTTTTACAATTGTATCATGAATTATTACTTTCTGCTATCAAAATAAATGATTAGAAGGTTGTTTTACATAAATATATAGGATAAAAACACCTTTTAGGCAATATATAATTATTTCTTAAATAAATTCTTAATAAAGAAATTTTTATATGGCAAATTTTTCTCTTGGGATCATCAAATTCATTACACGGAGGTCCAACTGTATTTGATATTAAATATTATGATTATGTATGTGCCGCTTCTTAATTTTGTAACCATGTAGTATTGATACAATAATTATATTATAAGGTAAAGATGTTATTGGTGTACCAAATTGCACCATATTTAAATTCACAACAAATTTTGATTGGTTACTATATTTTATAGTTTTACAATCATAGACAGACAGCACAATCAACAGTTGTTTGATTTTAGTTACCACTGCTCTTGCGATATGTAACTGTTTATACGTACATTAACATTACCTCTACTATATAGGCATTGAATGAGTTCTTAAATGTTTTTAACGACTTGGCAGAATTTTAAAAAAAATGCTGATTACAGAGGAATTTAGAATTTTTTGACGAACACAGACCTGTATACCATGGTGCATGTGAATATGTAGAGAACAACATTAAAATGAATTATTTGTAAAGGGAAATGTATGAATTGGGAGTTAATTTTTATGATCAAAATTTTGTTTTACTTAATTACCATTTTATACTTTTGTCACATTTAATTGATTCACTAATAATTTTGTTTTTCTACAGCCATTGGTCGTCTCTGCGAAAAATGTTAGCTTTTTAATTATTTTAAATAATCTATTTTTTAATTATTGCCAATAAACTACAGTATATTTGTCAAATGGTGCTCTAGGGGTCTGCTTTGCGGTTGACTTCATCACATTTGATCAACAATTGAGATGTAATCTGATTATTCCTTGAAAAGTATTCAGAAGGAATAATTCAGAAATATCAGAATTTAACTAAAAAATTATAATCAAATGAGATCCTATTTGGGTTTCTAGAAGTTAATATAATGAAATTTTGAAGTTTTTGAAGAAAAAGTATTGGAAATCCTACTACATTTCGGAACCATGTTAATTTAATATGTTGGAGTTCCCTAAATGTTCAACATGTTTCTTTTTTTAATGAATAACAGCTAGGATAATAACTGTTGAACTACATGATAAATATATATATTAATACAATATAATAATTTGCAACATTGTTTGAAAGAATTCCAAAGCCAACATAATTAATTTTGTAAAATTTTGCCGACTTGGCAGAATTTAAAAAAAAATGCTGATTACAGAGGAATTTAGAATTTTTTGACGAACACAGACCTGTATACTATGGTGCATGTGAATATATAGAGAACAACATTAAAATGAATTATTTGTAAAGGGAAATGTAAGTTATGGCATTGCAAACAAAATCACTGTTATGATATTAATTTTTAAAGTTATGCTCAAACATTCTACAATTTTAACAATTCTTTCACTAATTAGGTATTATTTGACTAATTTTTTTTTATTCGTTTATTTTTCAAACATTAAAAAAATAATTTTGAAAAAAAGGGTCCAGCATAACCACGAGTGTTTCTTTCAGCCAACCCCAAAAACATCCATTCCATACATTTAAAGTCACATATTCAATTGATCACACACAAAAAAGTAATAACGGAAATAATTATGATCAAACATTATTTGGCTGTTAATAATATAATAGTAATTTCCAATTGTACATCACATAGACAAACATTCGAACACAACACTCATGCGCACACATCTAAGCACAAAACCCAATCAAGAAAATGTATAAAACAAAAGTAACTATATGAAAAAAAAATTATAAAACATTATGACAAACATATGAAATAGGTCTTTAATTGAATTTTGAAATCATTATAATTTGTCAAAGCCCTCAAATAAAATGGCAGTCCATTCCAAACCAACGGCGCATAATAGAAAAACTGATGAGCACTAATTTTATTCAATATTAAATTTGTTTTAATTAAAAGTTTATCATTAGATCGGGTGTTTGAAATTTTATTGTATTCAATTAAATTTATGATGTGTTTATTTAGTTTATTAATTTTCATGAATAATTCTAAAAATTAATAAAAATAAAATAATTAAAACCAAATGTGTTTAATTAAATGTTTGCAATTTTATAAAATACATTTTTTCTTGCAAATCATAAATAATTACATTTGAAAAATTAAAAATTACTTTAGTTTATTTTCAACTTCTTACTAAATTTTTCTCCACGTACGGTCCATAATGCAGGTGATGGTAAATGCGTGATATGTGATTCATACGTTAGGCCATGCACACTTGTCCGAATATGTGACGAATGCAACTACGGGTCCTTCCAGGGCAGGTGCGTCATATGCGGCGGACCTGGCGTGTCGGATGCATACTATTGCAAGGAATGCACGATCACTGAAAAAGATGTTGGCCAATATTTTATCATGATTGTTAATACTTTTTGATTTCTCATTTCTATTTCAATACCTTTCAATAACTTCAACCTGTAAGCGGTTCATTATTCAAATATTTCATAATTCATTTTGAAAATTCTCCTCACAGAGGGACGGCTGTCCAAAAATTGTGAACCTGGGAAGTGCCAAAACTGATTTGTTTTATGAACGAAAAAAATATGGATTCAAAAAACGATAGTTGTCCATTATAATGACTCTTTCACTTTTCTATTATAATTGATACAATTTTATTATTATTAATAATAATATAAATGTTATTATATTTCATTAATTATTTCATAATTTGATTGTTTTTATCACTTCATTGTTCGTTGGAAATCTAATGACGGATTGTGCATTATATTAATTAAAAAGGTTAACATGGGTTAATCATTAGGCTATATGTATATAAACGAAGATTGATTGATATATATGTTTATATATATATACATCTATATATACATATATACATACATATTTATTAGTTTCTGAACTCTTGCCCATCTAGCGTTAAGTTATTTTTTAGCAATACACTCAAGACGACGAAATTGTTGCAAATTTAACATTTGCGTCCGTCATGATGAGGCCCACAGGGCTTTTTCGGCGTGGATGCCATCTTCAGAGCCTTGAATTATATGTATATATATTTATATATGCTGATATTAAATGAATGGAAGGAGAAAAAAGGAATAAAGCAAACGGCACTGCTAACCTCAGTATTACACAAATGTTAAATAAATATGACTTGCAACAAAATGTTACTAAACGCTAAATGGGCAAAAGTCTTCAATGAAATATGTTTTAACGAAAAGCTCGTTCTAAAATATGTACACACACACACACACACACACGTATATATAAGTGAATAATCTAGATCAGATGACTTAGCGATATATTTGAGTTCACCATATGAACGTTTACCAAAAGTTTTAAGAGACTTTTTCAAACTATATCCACAATTGAATTCATTTATTTCGAAAACTGAGACACTAATTGTTGAAAAACGTCAGCGGTTGTTGAAATTTTCTACATGTCGCTACAAGGTGTAAATATTGCGAATAGAGATAAAATACAATATAGAATAATAAATAAATAATAAAATTTTTTGCTAGAATTAAAACAAATTGAACAAAATCTCTATATAGATTTGTAAAAACTTGGACTGAAAACTATTTCAACTCACCACAACAATAAAGTGAAATTTTGAACAAAACCACTGGTCTTAACAGCAAAATATGTTACAAATCGAGGGATAAGCCATAAAAAGACCGTCAAATTTTTTTTAACAGTTTTAAGCCCACCACTGCAAATTTCTGGCCGCGCCACTGTTTGGGAACATAGGTACTAGAATCATTAAGTTGCCTAAAACCGGAAACCTTGCTTTATTTCATTTATTCAACCAACTTAATCAAGCAGTGAACGTAAAATTTGCAAACAAAGTAATAGGATGAGTACTTACAGAATAGATACTCATGTCTTTACGGTTGGTTGTTCTGTAGTCATCTACTCATAGTTTTAAACATTACGACGCCGTTTAAATATTGCTACGAGTATTTGTAATAATTTAAATAAAAATTTGAGAACTCTGATGTTTCAGAACAGTCAACAAAAGACAACAGTGACAAACTAGAAACTTCAACAACGAACAAATAAAATATGTGATAGCCATATATTGGTTAAGATCGTATGTGCAGGACATAAAATGTTCTTTTATTGATGAACCAAGCAATAACGAATAAGATATTGATGTTTGGGGCCGGCCACATATTTAATTCGTGTCAGTATCAATGATTCCCTGACACTTCAGACACCGCTCATATAAAATATTAAACGCTGCATGGATATGCTGCTGTGATTAATGGAGCTTTTATGAACGTTTACAAAAGGATTGGAGATTTAATGAGGTGCCGTTATTTAAAACTGTTAAACTTTTGTTCCTATATGTTGTTCATATATATATATATACGAATGAACACCTCTGAGATCTTTTTAAAGGGCGCTTACAAACCCTTGAAATGATGATGCTTGTCTTTTTTATAACTACGTAAAATATATAATGCATTTTAGATAACTAATTGTTTTAATTTTAATCTGTCTTTAAAATGTCAAGCACATGCCAAAAAGTAAATTCTTATTAAACAAAAACACGAAAGAAGACATTTCATTCGGTTGCCATTCGTTTTAATTTACTTATTTAAGGTACCTGACAATCATTCTTCCAACGCATGCATTATTCATCACTATGCTTTTCCTTCATCACTTCATTTTTTATATTTAAATTTATTATGTGATTTTAACTAGTCTTCTTTCGTGTTTTTATATAATAAGAATTTAAGTTTTTTTGCATGAGCTAGACGTTTTAAAGACTGATTAAAATTAAAACAATTAGGTTATCAACAATGCATTATATATTTTATATAGTTATAAAGAAAACAATCATCATTAAAACATGAAAATGGAAATAACTGAAGTATTCCATTACAATATAATATACTAGTGATTATTATTTAAACCGACATTTGAACGCCTTGAAAACCATTAAAGCATCGAAATTCACTGACAATCGGTTGAAATTTTTTAATTGGAAATCCAGAAAGTCAGTGTAACGAAAACAAGTTGGAAAAAATAGTTCGTTCTTAGCACGTAAGTAGCAAGGAGAAAGATTTGACTGCGGTTTAGTGAACAAATATTTCATTAGGAAGCAATTACTGAAAAGTATGAAATTGGAATTTAAGGTGGAATTATTAAAACGAATGAACTGTAGCTGTCATTTGGAAAATCATATACATACATGCAGAAATACAATGTGCACACATTGCGGTACAGTACACAGCATGAAATTTGTGTATATAGCACATCTAAGTACAGTACACACAACATGGAAGAATGCACACAACATTACAGTACACACAACATGAAAACATCCATAAGCTTGGGCACAATATGCCAACCGATTAAATAATCGTATCTATTGTTGTCGGTTTATTCGGCGAAAATTTAAATTACATACTTTCCTTTATGCAATTTTCCCATACTTTCTTCGCTCTTTTCTTCTTTCATTCCTGACTACAAACTCGTCCAATCAATCAATTGCGCCTCATACAAAAAATTTGAATTAGGTTTGAAGCAGTCTATTCACGTCACTTTCATTGAGGGATTGCCATCAGTTGACACGTTATTATTTGGTAATAATTGTTATTTAGAATAACCTGCTACCTGTCTGTATATTCATCAATGGTTGATCTGATGAGACATCGTGAGTAAAAAATACAATTCATAACGTTCATATCGTTGTAATGCTGTTAACATGGCTGCGATATGAACATCAATCACCATGTTTCAATCACCTCATCAACTCCATCACTCCATGTTATCGTCAACATCATTTCGTTACAAGCGTTGTTATCACTATTATCCTAATTCATGTTCATATTTTTCTTTAACAAGGTGATGATGAGAGGGTGTTTATGGTTATAAACAACAACATCAGCATAATCGTCGTCATCATTAACAAATCATGATTCTCATCTTCATCGCAAAATCATCGTCATCACATCATCGTTGTCAATATTCTTGCCTCACATCACATTGGCAAGAACGCAAAAAACACATCACCATCATCATCATCGCCCCCATCACCGTCATCATCGCCATCATCATCATCATCATCACCACCATCATCATCATAACCATCACCATCATCATCATCATCGCCACCATCATAACCACTACCACCACCATCATAACCACTACCACTACTCTCACCATCATCACTACCATCATCACCACCACCATAATCACCATCATCATCATAATCATCAAAAATGACGAGTTCTTCGGCGCGGACTCGTGTCAGAATCCGTCATTAATAACTCTCCAATATCGCTCGCATTAAATAAAAGTACATTATTAACGCCTAGCAAAGATAATTAAGTGATAGAAAGTCAATGCGTGCACTAGTTTTCTCTACTTATGTGTCTATGCTGACACGTTGTTATTTACGATCTTTGGGTCGATATATTGACGTTACGTTTTGCTGATTGGTTGTTGGTCGGTTGATTGAGTTATAAGTTAGGTGACCTGTAATGTGATTGGTTGGTTAGTTGTTAGTTGGTTAATTGGTTGGCTGATTGATAGGTTGGACGGTCCATTGGTTGATAAAATTATTATTATTATTATTATTATTATTATTATCATCATCATCATCAAACACTTATAAAGCGCCCATTTAAAAAATATCTCTCACAAGCGCTATCGAAAAAAAGAAAAAATAACAAATTAACTGTGAAATAATGTACATTATGTAAAGTAATGTATTATTATTATTATTATTATTATTATTATTATTATTATTATTATTATTATTATTTTACACCTTGCAGTATGATTAAATAATTAAATGTTTGAATATATTGATATATGATAGAATTAATGAAATTAATGAATTTGATGAAACAAGAAGACAACAACCAGAATAAATAACTGATAATAAATTTTTTTTCTCAACCTCCAAGGATGTCCATTGAACGAGCGCAAACGGTTGAGGTTTGATCAGAAGACCTCTGTGGATTTGGAAACATCCATACAGCTGCTATTAGCATATTAAGTATTAAGTAGTAATTATGCATATCAGCATATTAAGTTAACTAGTGTTCTCGTGCTTGCTATAAAATGTATGAACAGCAAACAGTGCCAACAATAACATGGTACATCCGCATCAATACGCAACATTTGATCTTTTTGTTCATAGGTATATAAAAATTTGCGTAATCACATGATCACTGGCCCGTGACATTTGTAAACCATATTTTCATAACTACATAAAAACATTTAACAGTAACAAATCTGGAACAGCCAACCTTAGCTTACTTAGCTGCCTGGCTGGCATCCAATACTGCATGGCTCGTGTCACTTAACTGGATTGCTTTTTAGATTCGTAACGTTTCAGTGACTAAGGTAAGGTGGTACGGCGTACCAAAAAGATAGCAGAGGGTACCACCGTGGGACATAACTCATCCCAACGCATAAAAAAGCATAAACAAATCATCGATATTTATATAGATGCATCAAACAAGTAAAACAAATATGCACAAACACACACTCTCGCCAACAGAACACGCCTTCACATATACACGCACAAACACACACACGCACGCACAAACAAACACACACCACCAAGTTTTTTACAGGAATAACTTGCAATACAGATAAATAAAGCTGATGAATATCAATGCATAAATTTAATTAATGGAGGAGTGCTGAAGCAAACAAACAAATATGAAGAGAAACAGAATATATCCATAGATGTGTGTGTATGTGTAATAACTTGTTTTTCATTCAAAAAAAATTTTTTATTCAAAATTGCGAGTTTTTTGGTATTCGGAAGTCGGTTTCAGCTTCGGTCGAAAAGTGCATCTATTCGGTCAAGTTTACTATTTGGTGCATCTCTAATAATAGCTAAACTGTCATAGAAACAAACCAACTCACCACAACCTACACGCGATAAAGCATACAAGCAAAGAAATCGTACAAACATGCGCAAGGACAAATGATTCAATGTACGCACACACACGCACACACATACACACGCATGTATATATATATATATAAATATAAACAAACAGATACACACACACACACAGACAAATAAAATGAAAATACGGCAATGCATACATAACGACACCAATTCATTTAGGTTAGAGCCTTGTTAACGAGACAAACTCTACATCTCCCTTGTTGCTCGCATGCCTATCATGCTGCTTCCGTCTGTGTGTGTGCGTGTGTGTGTGCGTGTGCGTGTGTGTGTGTGCGTGTGTGTGTTTATATGTATGTGTGTATATATTTTTTCATTATGAATGTATGTCTGTGTGTGTATGTATGTTTTTATGTTTTTGCACGTATGTATGGTTTGTTTGTTTGTGTGTGTGTGTGAGTGTGTGTGTGTGTGTGTGTGTGTGTGTGTGTGTGTGTGTGTGTGTGTGTGTGTGTGTGTGTGGTGTTCAATGAGTGAATGAATGTATGTCTATTGTTTATATATGACGGCATTGTGGAGTGTAACGCGTGCATATTTGCAAATGTATCTTGGGTGTAATTCACGCTTCTTGCGATAAAAATTATTATTTTAAACCGGCGCGTGCGTGTGCGTGTACATTGTGGGATGTATCAGTGGTGGGATGAATGTGTGGAATAAAGATTTGAATGTCCTGACAAGTATGAAAAACGTGTATAAAAATATGTTTGTTTGTTTGTGTGTGTGTGTGTTTGTGTGTGTGTGTGTGTGTGTGTGTGCGTGTGGTTGTAAGCCATGGATGTTTGGGACGTTTCTGTTTAGAGATACATGGTTTCACGCTTATATGCTTGTGTGTGTTGTATATGCAATGAAGGTACGTAATGAATAACTGCGTTTATCTACTATAATGTGTAACAAGTCTGTGTGTACGTGTGTGCTGTGTGTGTGTGCGTATGTGTGTGTACGTGTGTGTGTACGTCTGGATGGGCACGCGACTGTCCTTTTGGATGTAAATTAAATTGGTGCTTTATATAGGAATTATGCAGGGCAGCATGAATGAAATCCAGTTGCAGGGATGAATGGGAGAAATGAGGAATGAGGAAGATGGACGCGTAAAAAGCTTCGACTGACCAAAATGGAAAGATGGATAAATCGAAAAAAATGAATAAAAAGAAACAATCAGGGAAGCTGGATAAATAAATAAATAAAATAAAATAAATGAAGAGAAAAGAAGGGGGAGAACAGAGAGATGGAGATAAATAAAAGAATAAGAGGTGAAGAGGAAAGAGAAAAAATGAAAAGAAATAGAGAGAGAGAGAGAAAGAGAGAAGAGAAGAGAGAGAGAGAGAGAGAGAGAGAGAGAGAGAGAGAGAGGGATAAATTCATATTAATGTTAGGACCTCTGCCGAGCACCAGCTGATTGATAGTCTTCATAATTGAGTTGGAAAAGTGGCTGATAATCTAATTATGTCTCCGTCTCTTTACGTTTGTGTGCGTACGTTTGCGTTTGTGTGCGTATGATTGTCTGTTTGTTTGCACTTTGTATGTTTTTGTGTATGAGCATGTTTGTGTGTGTGTCAATTGTTTGTTGTTCCAATGTTGCTACATGTGGGCAGCAGATATTTGTTTGGGCTTGTGTACGTTTTCGATCTATGCATACAAACTTGTACGTGCACATTTTTTGACTGATAAGCAGTAAATATTTACAAGATACTTATTTTATATTGATAATGCATGCGTGGTAAAGTACAGGTTTACCTTAGCACATGATGTAAATGTAAAAAATTATACATTATATTTGTCTTGCGGGTGTGGCGGGTTTACCTATGTATGTTTGTTTGTTTGTTTGTGGGTGTGTATGTGAGGGGTGTGTATGTGTGGTGTGTGTGTGTGTATGCGTGGTGTGTGTGTGTTTATGCACGCGTACTAGGTAAGTTGCACTCTACTCTATGTGACTTGTTGTTGGTTCTGTTTGTTTGCTCTGTTGTTGTTGTTTCTATGTTGTTGTTGTTGATGATGATGTGTTTGTTGTTTCGATGTCGTTGTTAATGTATTTGTTGTTTCTTTGTTGCTGTTGACGTGTTTGCTGTTTTTATGTTCCATACATTGCATGACGTGTTAACACCTGCAACCTTGTTATTCGTTTTAACAGTTTTGTGTGTTTTTTTGATTATTTCAATGTTTCAACTTTAAATTAAAAAAAACTAACAAATGGAATGAAACAAGCCATTTATTGTACGCATTTTTGACAATGGTGAAGGTTTGAAGGAAAATTCCAACTAAATGACTTTTTAGTAACGATTAAATAAACCAATTTGCACATAGAGACATCATAAAAATTAATTTAAATTAATTTAATCTATTTAATTTAATTAATTTATATAAATCTGTATAAATTAATTAATTAAGTTTAGCTGAATTAATTAGTTTAAATACATAAAAGATACAATTTCAAATGGCAAACTATTGATAACGAGTTGTTGTTTACAAAAAACATTCGATCAACTGTTGTTCATTTTGGATCAACACGGTTAACTGCCGTTAACTTTTCTACCTGTTTTAACTTCGTTGATGTTATTGTTGATGCTGTTGTTGTAGTTGTTGTTGCTGTGAGGGTTGACGTTGAAGGTGCTGTTGTTGTTGTTGTTACTATGGTTAGAGTTGTCTTTGTTGTTGTTGTTCGTATTGTTAATAACACCATTGATGTCATTGTTGTTGTTGTTGTTGTTGTTGTCGTTTGAAGAATTTTTATCAAAGTGTTTAATGCATGAGATGTGATTGTTGCAATCATCATCACCAACATCTTTCCAATCATCATCATCAGTCAACAATTTGAAGTCGCTTTTTTTGTTGTTGTTGACGTTGTTGCTGCTAACAATATCTTTGTTGAAATATTTTTCACTGATATCTTTATTGTTGCTGATGTCTATGCTGTTGTTGTTGCTGTTGCTGTTGTTGTTGCTGATGTTGTTGTTGCTGTTGATGTTGTTATAATTGTTGTAGTCTTTGTTATAATTAACATTTGGATTGTTATTTTTGTTGTTGCTGATGACGTTGGTGGTGCTATTATTGCTATTGCTATTATCATTGTTGTTGTTGTTGCTGCTGCTGTTGTTGTTAATATTATTTCCAACAAATTTCGCATCATGATCGTTATCAGTACAACTTCCGGAGTAATCATTTTTATTCTTTGTGCCAATCGCGGACTCTAATGATTTTTTATGCATACCTGAAAATTTAAAAAATGCCAATGAAAATAAAGGTACCTACATACGCAAGCACGCACACGCGCACACGAGATATATAAATATACAACCAGTGAAACTCTAAAACAAAATCGATCAGGGCAAAACTCTTTAATATAAGCCATAATAACACTACCACCAACAACAATAACACATCAACAACAACACATTAACAACAACAACAACACATCAACAACACATCAACAACAATCCATTTCAAACAACAAAAAATTTCCAACAACAGCACATCTTGAACAACACCATCAACAACAACACATCAACAACAACACAACTTCATCAAACATATCTCCATCAACAACACATCAACAACAACACATCTCCGACAACAAGACCCACTAAGCAGCCAGGGAGCAAAAGATTCCTCCACACCATCCTTCGCAGACTTCACGATACTTTCAGGCAGTGGGAGGGAGTGGCGAACCATGGCTCCGTACAATCCATATTCGGCCATGATGCTACTTCGGCCCCACGTCTTCTCCGTTTTGCGCCACTTGGCTCGTCTGTTTTGGAACCACACCTGGTGGATTCGATATGTGGATATTGATATCTTGATAGAATGGTAGAGAAAAGCAGAAGTCACCAACTCCCAACGGAGCTTCACTCAATTTTCCAGAATAAAGACCTATTAACTCTTATATCATTTACCAAAAAAAATGAAAATATACAAAACATCTGACAACTCCCACAACTAACAAAACAGAAATAATTGAAGTTAACTGAAAAACAAATTAACAAATTCCAAAGACCTCCAAAGGTAACCTCCAAGTACTATAATGCCGCTAAACTGATAATGATGATGCGAAAAAAGAGACGCATTGAAGGTCCCGCCTGGTCGAACATTCGGCCAAAATGTGACGTTCGGCTTCGGCCATTTTTAGACAGAACAGACCAATTATTACCAATTTCGTTTTAGCCGCCAGTTTTCCGCTTTAGAAGCAATAAAAGTTGGCGAGAAATTTATTTTGGCGATTCAATAGTTGTTAGAACAACAATTTCAATTTCCCATTGGATTTTCAAGAGAGTTTTTATCTGTACTGTAGTGCAGATTTTCAGTTTGAATCAGGCTTTTACTTTTTTTAAAATCAGTTATTTAGTAAAAATTCAATTGTTTATTTTTTCTGTTTCTATGTTAGAATAAATTAATTTCAATTTAATAATTCATAATTTCAATGATAATAATCAAATTTGCTGATAAAATTGATAAAGTGGATTGCTAATTAAACTCTGTCGACGAAATTAAAAATTAATAGCCAAAAAATATAAAAAAATAAAATAATTTTCTTTTTTACACTTTGACGGATATGAATGTTCCAAAATGGAGTCCTATTTAAAAATACTTCAATTGTTGTTATGGCTTCTTCAAAGAAAGCGCAGTAAAATTCTCATTTCAATTTTGGAGTTTTTGGTATGTGGTCTTCGACTTCAGCCAAATAACGGATCAACTAATCGACCCAACTCACTATTCAGTGCATCTCTGGATACTATGTAGCGGTGGTGATGTGATGATGTGATGCTATGTGATGTAATGAGATGTGATGATGTGATGTGATGATGTGATACTATGTGATGTGATCTGATAATGTGGTGCTATATGATGTGACGGCGACAAAGCCTTCGCTTTAGAAGTTTCAGTAATTGTGCTTGCTGACATTTTAACCAACAACAAAAAAATATTCGTACAAGAGTGCTAGCAGCAATAATTAGTTGGGACAGAGTTCTAATGTTATCATTGCTATTGTAAGTTTTAGTAGTGTTGTAGTGTCAGTAGTGTTTCTGTCTGTTTATTAATCAATTAATGTCGTAATTGTTAATTGTTGCAGCAGTAACACACACACACATCACACACACGCACACACAGACGTGCGCACACACACAAATACGCGCGCGCATGAAGAAATGCCGTTAGGATGATAAAGTTGACTGTCAGAAGATCTAATAAAGAAATAAAAGTTGAGATTGTACATCAAGCGACACGAAAGTCTCATTCCATCTCATCTCCTCGCTCCCCCAACTACTCAACTACTTCTCTAGTGATAATATTTTTGTCGGGAATTCCAGTCTTCAAGTGGTCTTTAATCTTAAAAGAAAAAGAGGAAGTAAAAAGAAAGAGAAAGAAAGAGAGAGAAAGAGAGAGAGAGGAAAAGGGAGAAAAGCGAAAATTGAAGAGAGAGGACGAGAGGTATTTCGGTGAAATATTTGCACCATCACGCTATGTTTCAGTCGCACTTTTGTGTATGGTGCGTTCGTATTTATGTATTGTTTGTGTGTTAGCCAATGTTTTTTTGTGTGTTTTTATTTTTGTAACATGCAAACACACCGAACAAACAAAACAAACAGCAAACAAACAACATACAAACAAACAAACAACAAACACACAACATTCCAACAACACACGGCATAAAAGCTCACACACAAACATACAAACAACGCGCAAGCATACAAACAACACACAAACATACAATCAACACACAACACACAACACAACATACAAACAAACATCACACAAACATACACCAATTATGCAGCCTACTCATTCAAATTTAGCGCCAAATAAAAAACACACACACCTACAAACACACAGACACATACAAACAAACATAAAACAAACAAACATGCGTAAAAAAAATTTAGAGATACAGACAAACAAAACAAACTTAGAAACACCAACAAGCAGACAGATACAGACAATCAGACAGACAGACAGACAGATACAGACAATCAGACAGACAGACAGACAGAGAAAAACATAATTGCATATCAAACGGAGGTCGTTGACTTTATTAAAGAGGGGTCCAGCGACAACAATGATGATACATGATCACGTGATTAAGTTGAAGAGATTCTCGCGTGATGCTGGCGAAAAAGATGACGATGACGATGTTGTTGTAGTTGGTGATGATGTTTGTGATTTTGTTATTGAGGATGATGTTGCTGTTGTTGTTGATGATGATGATGGTGATAACGACACTGCTGTTGTTATTGTTGTTTTTAATGGTGGTGACGGTGCTGTTGTTGATAATGATCATGCTGTTGTTGTTACTGATGATGATGTTGTTGATGTTGCTGATGACGATGTTGTTGATGATGATGATGTTGCTGATGACGATGTTGTTGATGATGATGATGTTGATGATGATGATGATGTTGTTGATGTTAATGATGATGATGATGTTTTTGATGATGATGATGTTGTTGATGTTGATGATGGTAATGATGATGGTAATTCATTCACCTATCTACCCATCCATCGTTCATTCATAACAATCCATCCAATCACTTATCCATTGATCCATTCAGTTATGAATCAACCCATCCATTCTCTCATTCAATCAACCACACACATCATGACGATGGCTATCCATCCTCTTCTTCACTCCATCACTCACTCACTAATCCATTTACGTTCTTATTCGTTTATTTAATCATTCAACTGTATCTCTATCCTGTTGTGCAGATTCGTTCCTTCATTCTTCTCCAACTTTGGCTCGTATTTGTTTTTTCATACGCTCATTCATTCAATCGTTCATTCGTTTGTTCGTTCGTTCCTTCGTTCGTCCGTCCGTCCATTCATCCATCCATCCATCCATCCATCCATCCATCCATCCATCCATCCATCCGATCCATCCATCCATCCATCCATCCATTCCATCCATCCATCCATCCATCCATCCATCCATCCATCCATCCATCCATCCATCCATCCATCCATCCATCCATCCATCCATTCATCCTTCCATCTATCCATCCACTCATTCATTCATTCATTCATTCATTCATTCATTCATTCATTCATTCATTCATTCATTCATTCATTCATTCATTCATTCATTCATTCATTCATTCATTCATTCATTCATTCATTCATTCATTCATTCATTCATTCATTCATTCATTCATTCATTCATTCATTCATTCATTCATTCATCCATCCATCCATCCATCCACCCATCCACCCACTTACCCACCCATCCATCCATCCATCCATCCATCCTTCCATCCATTCATTCATTCATTCATTCATTCATTCATCCATCCATCCACCCACCCACCCATCCATCCATCCATCCATTCATTCATTCATTCCTTTAAACGGTGCCAAGGGAAGCATAGATGTAATGTGTTTGTGTTCCATCGTGTTATTGTTAATAATAATAACAATGACGACGATGATGATGATGGCTGTGGTGATGATGATGATGACGACGGTGATGATGATGATGATGGCTGTGATGCTGATGATGATGGTGACGATGTTAATTAGGGTAATATCTTCATGTGCTATCAAATAAAATGGAATACCAAAATGTAGTGTGATAATAATGACGATGACGTCATGATGATGATGACGACGATGATGATGGAAATAATGAAAATAAAAGATAGTAGATAAGGTAGTACTGGACAAGTAAATAGCCGAAGTTAGAAATGATGATGATTCATTGTTGTGGTACAAATGTTCTCTATAGTGGAGGTGATTATAAAAACTACAAAAGTATTTTCGTAATTTTGTACACACACACTCACACACCACACACACACCACTCAAACTCGATACATACATACATACATACATACATACATACATACACACATACATACATACATACATACATACATACATACATACATACATGCATGCATGCATGCATGCATACACAGACACATACATACATACATACATACATACATACACACACACACACAAACACACACAAACGCACATAACATAAATACAAACAAACAAATAAACATACATAGGCAAATGCAATTACATTATGTTCACCAAACAAATGTTTTTATAAAAAACACTCATACAGACTAAAGGACATAAACATTCAAACTTACTTACGCAACAGAAACAACAATGAAATAATAACGTAACGCATCTGGAATATAAAACCTTAAGAAAAATCTCAAATAGTTGGCGCTATAAAAATATACGCTGTCACGAATTATCGCCCGTTAAATGAAAGAATTTAATTCTACGCGCACCTACCCCATAGACTAATAAATTTGTTTTCTTTGGCCGGTGGACGATGTTGGAGGATTTATATATGGGATGTGCTTGCAAATTATTTTTACTATGGTTTTGTTGCTGTTGTGGTAATGTCGTTGTTGTTGATGTTGTTTTCGTTGTTGTTGTTGATGTTGATGTTGTTGTTGATGTTGTTGTTAATTCCGCTGTTGTTTATGTTTCGAATGTTGTTGTAGTTTGAGTTGTGTGTGTATATATGTATGTGTGTATATATTTATGTATGCATGAATGTATTCATGATCGCACGTACGTATGTCGGGCTGCTGTGATGATAAGGATGATGAAGATGACGATGATGATAAGGATGATGATAAGGATGATGAAGATGATGATGATGATAATGTTTTGGCCAGAAGTGTAACCATAAAAGTTCCTCTCTCGAAAATGTATTCAACGTTGAAAATGGAAACATTTCCATCTTGAACCCAAAAAATTCCACAATGAAATCCTGGAAAAACTTATTTACATTCTAGCTAGCTTGG